TCTGGAAAACATTGTCATATTTTGTTCACTTTGTTATCAAGTTTTAGCATGGTGCTCATTCCCTTTCATAGAAAATTTAACAATCAGCCCACACACCCACAAAAAGATATTTAAACTGTATAATGCAGAGACTGTAAAGTGGTCTCTCTGCAAATACCATTGTTGTGTGAGTGTGGGCACCACTAAAACTGAATTTTTGTGATGAAAATAAGGATGATTGGTTTATGTTTTCAATATGGCTGCTAACCTGGGCATACATGTATCTACATTACTGTATGTACAGATTAGGCCATCAAGAATTAATTATATGTTGGTATTCTGATGAAGCCTTATATTAAAAATAATGTTAGAGTCTCAAAAGGCAACTTGAGGCATCACTCAATGGATTTACTTCAAAGGACAGGTGGCGGTAGACCCCTCTTTTAGCCCCCCTACATTGACATTGACATGGAATTGAAGAGGAAGTATGACTTATTACTTAAAATGTGATTTCTGAGAGTTTTGACATTTGACCTCGACACTAGGGTGGTTTAAAGGTCAACTTTAAGAGATGCTATTTTTGTCAAAATTTTACCATTTTCTAATACAAGAAATGAAAGCAATTGGCTTAACTTTGATTGTGGCTGATAATAAGACATGTGAGTGGAAACAAAAATATTTTTAATAATTTCCCATGGGCAATTACATGAAAATCTTGAGAATAAATCCCCATATGAGCATTTTTATGGGGACGAAATTTTCTTGTTTCAAAAGTGAATGTTCTTGTTGCCTTTTGAGACTCTAACATTATTTTTAATATAAGGCTTCATCAGAATACCAACATATAATTAATTCTTGATGGCCTAATCTGTACATACAGTAATGTAGATACATGTATGCCCAGGTTAGCAGCCATATTGAAAACATAAACCAATCATCCTTATTTTCATCACAAAAATTGCAATGACAAGATTTATCGAAAAACTTCCATGATGGCCGCCCAAAAGTTAATCAGCTCTAGAACTTCTTACAATGTAAAATATGTGAAAATTTGAAGTAAATCTGTCAAGTCGTTTTCCTGGAATCATGATGACAAGAAAGTGAGACATTTATCCCAGCCAATATCCCTCATAAGAGCTCATTTAGCTAACTGTAACTGTAACTGAGGCTGCTAGGTGATGTTATTAATTCTACTAAGACCCAATTCAAATGGTTTATCTAATTTAAACCATACACTGGGCATTCTTATGAAAGGTAAATGGTCCATGATCCATTTTTTGGAAAAAATGATTTAATTTGTATTGACTATGAAGTACGTGTATTAAGCAATGAGTGGGTGTAATTAGTTCAGCTTCAGTGCATTGCATGTTACAGGGCAGGTACAGTTTTAAAATTTGATTTCTTTTGTATTTACTTTTCAACTATTGAATGAGTGAATAAGGTACAATTAGTTCAGCTTTAGTGTACACTGCATATGACAGTCAATCATCTTTTGTAACACACTGGTTATGGATAGCTTGCCAAGTGTACATTCATTAAAACAATAGAAAAATAATGTACTTTCCTTTTGATACAACCACAGACATTCTTTAAAATTAACCACAGCTCATTCAATTGTGTTGCTACCTAAGTGGGGTTTAACATTGACTAAATTAATAGGAGGTCTCTTGCATAGGGCCTCCTAATAATTTGTGTATTGTATCAAGTACTATATATACATGTAGGTCTGAAGCCTTTATACAAAATAAATACAGGACTAGTAGGCTTTACAGTTCTACTTTGATAATATTGAATAAAAATTATGTGTTCCCAGAAGTTATCAATGCAGTAATTTATCAAAATTCACAAATCCAAGAAGTAAATACACGCCAAGAGTTAACAGTGCAAATCGGCCTGGTCGTGTTTTTTTAACTCTTTAGTCGTGTTTTGTAAGAACATGGGATGCGACATTCGATAGAATGGAGCAAAATGGTAAGAATATTCTATATTTTACAAACTTACATATCTTGACTTCTACCTAAGATGTTCTTCTTCATACCCACGAATCTATTTTGGGGATAAATCCATCATACTTCATATCAATCGCAATTATATACCAAAAGTGCCAGAAATATGTACTTAATTTGCATTTAGTGTTATTTAATCAAGTTTAAACAGACAATCCATTCAACAACGTGGAATAATATTCACTACTCTAAAGATCGTGTAAATATTTTAACTGTATTTATCTTAAAATTGCCATAAATGACCGTAAATGTAGAAAGTGGAGTTAACTATGGAGAAGGGACAATATAACGTCATGGACGTGTCTTATAATAAGCATGTTAACGTTTTGGAATTGTAAAGATAACGTTTTAGACGTGATAAAATTAACGACTTTGATTTGTCTTGTAATATTGTTCACATTGACCATGTTTTGTTGCTTAATAATTTGTCTGTGCTTCTGAAAATAATCGTATTAGTACTTAACACGGGAATATACATTATGTGTCACCCGTTTATTGTAATTTGTAGTCAAGATATGAATAAATAAGAATAAATAAAAAAGACAGATATATGATTTAACAAGATCAACAGATGTTGTAATTTAATTCGCTAGAAAACTATGTTACACTACAGTTCATAGATCACTCATAGAACGATAGCAGCATATGTAGCGTTTTTTACCTATTGCAATTTGAAAATTAAAATTGAAATTGTATTGCATTGTGTGAGGCGAATTAAGGAATAACATCGAATCAAATTGTTAAAAATCCTGAGGCAAACCTAATAGATATTGAGCATACGATTTTAATAACGGAGGAGTTATTCCTTACATTAGGTGATCATATATATGCATTTACATGTAGTGCATCACAAACTAAACATTTCCTCTCATTTTAAATAAATTTATTTACGTTCATGACAGGGAAAAGTGAGTTTAAGGCCAATAGGGACGTTTTAAAACGTATTTGAGGCAAATTCAAAAATAGCAACGAGCCATTTAATGAGCGACAGGGCAATTAAAAAATAATATGACTGGTCAAATTTTCAAAATGACGAGCGACGAGGCAAAGCTCGCTTGCATTAACCATGCGTGTCTGATTCTAACCATTTTGATTTAAGTATCAAATTCGGTAGTGATCCCATAGATCAATCTTGACATATTATTTCGTACATTTGATTATTGTTAATCATTTATAATTAAGATAGTGTCACTCAGACAACAACTTCTTCCACATTGTGATCATTTTTTGGGAAATACATAATGTTAATTGTGCTGTTTCCCACTTCCAAATCGTTAAACCTCAATGTCTCTACACGTCTAAAACGTTTCACTAACAGGTCAACGTCATTAACCGCAATCTTTTCAACACGTCTAAAGAGTTTAATCTAAAAAATATTATTCGGTCAATTGCTACTTATTTAAGCTCTTCTTACTTTTGATTTTCGCACATATTGTGAATTCTTTCCTTATGAATCGATGTATTCATTGAATACAAGTCAGGCAAGTGGTTTTCAGGCAAAAATATGTATAACACTGACAGAATTGCTCATTTCCCGATATAACAAGACTATAGCATACGATTCGAGCAAATAACACGTTTACGAATACCTGAAGTTAAGATATATAGTATGGAAAGCAATATAGATTACTTACTTTTACATAAAGTCAAGTGACAGCAATTTCATGACCAAATTTATTAACCTACCTCTCAAATTTTCAACAAAACACGACTAAAGAGTTAAAAAAAACACGACCGGGCCGATTTGCACTGTTAACTCTTGGTCACCGTGAAATAACTAGCTCTCAGAAATATTGATTACCGATAGGCTGTTTGAAATACTTGTAGTATAAGAAACTAAAGTTGGTCTTTCAATCATCCACCCTATTATTTCAATATAACGCATATTCTACTCCTGAGTAATTCCTTCTTAAGGGAGCAAGTCAAAAGTTCAATGTAGCACAAAAAGCTATACATTATCAGTTAAGTCCCAGACACCATCCCCCTGTTAACTATATATGGAATATGTTAACACACGCAATTTAAAATAAAAATGTACCTTGATGATGAGTCTTTCATATTCATTGGATGGGGTTTTATATATTGGCTGTGCCATAATAGTGAAAAGGACGTTTAAAATTTGAAAAACTTTTGAAATATTTTCATTACGGAGGCTTGCAGAGAGGATTGTGGGATGAAAAATGGTGGATGCAATTTCCCAGGAATCCATGTCAGGGAAGCTTATTTTCAGACCCCCCTAACTGATAATATATAGCTTATTTGGCAACATTGATATTTTGATGTGCTCCCTAAACTTTCATATGTTGATGATGACCTGTTGAAGTATTTAAGAATGTGATACCATAAATGATTAAGAGCTAACCTAAAGAGTATATCATATGTGACAAAGCCTAATATGGCATGTGGCCTTGTGACATCATAATCTTATAGCCTATCAAATTGCTTAATTCACTCTAGGTTTCTATGACATAGTCTAGCAAGACATTTTGCCCTGTGACTACATAACTTTAGCCAATTGAATTGAGTAATTTGCTCTGTTTCTGAGAAATGAAACCATCAGTATGATTCATTGATTTTTCATATTATTACTAAATTAACCATTCTACAACAACTTTGCTAAAAAGGTAATCGCGACTTCTAATTCTGACATTTTCGTTGAGACAGTGTATTAGGTAAGTAAAGCTTTTATTGTTAAAAAGAACTGTGGATGGGAGGGCATCAATGGAGTTACCACACAAATGCTTGTAAAAATGTAGTGAAATATTACTTATGAAATCAACTAAAATTGTCGTTATGTATAATTAATGTAAAATCACAACAATTGATTGTGGATCCATCGTTCTAAATTAATCTCTAATAAAAAATTGGGTGGTGCATCATACACCCTTATCTAAATAATCTGATAAACTGTGTACTTAATATCTTGATTTTCCTGTAATAAGCTATCCTTTAATAGTACTCTTCACTCTCGTATCTAAACAGGATGTATTCACCCAAACTGAATCCAAATAAGAGGTGTTTTGGAGAATACATGTGCCCAAAGTGTAATCGTGAATGGATGAGTGGGAACAGTTGGCCAAACAAGGGACAAGAATGCCAGACATGCCGCATCAATGTCATGGCTCATAAACAGGTTGGTAAAGATCACAAAAAATCATTCTAAGGAAAAATCGCAAAGACAGAATGACAAAATGATCATATAAGCCTAAAATGTTTTTTTATAACTTTCACAATCCATGGACTTATTATAACCCCACTTTTCTGAAAAAGCTTGACAGGAAATCCAGGCCTATTAACTTGGGAACCTAAAATGTGTGATTTACAAATGTTGAACCCCTTACTTCAAATTATGAACACCTTGGTCCAAATCTGAACATCTATGTCCAAATTTTGAAAATATCTTTGTTTAAATTTTACTGCATATATCCAAATTTTGGACACCTGAAAATTCTGAACGAATAACATTCATTTTTTCAATTTAGGGAGTTTCAGAGAATTTATGAACTTTCTACAAGTGATTTTTAAGCATTGATATAATTATGAAAGTCATTCAATGGTTAACTTAAGCCTCAGAATTGTACTCTAAATTGCACTAAATTGTACTATAAATATTTAGTAACCAAACGTTGTCCATATGCCAAGAGAACTTATTGTCGACACTGTTACAATTAACTGTGTTATTCTAGAGGCCACTAAATAGACCTGATGGTTTAGATAAGTCTGATGATAGCAAGCCCCACCTTACACATCTCTGCCAGAAATGCAAGGAACTGGGACACAATTGCAGAGGTTCTTCGTAAGTCACAGATATGATATGTTCATTTATTATCACACTAAAGTACAGTGAAACCTGTATATCTAAAAGCCTCTTTAACCTGAACACCTCTCAATGTGAACACTTTTTCTTGGTCACGAATTCGAATCTCCTAAAGACTCACTAATATTCAAAAAGGGACATTAGCCAATATGTGAGGAGCTCCTCATCCAAACACCTTTGGCAGGTTCTAATGGAGTAAATGGAGTTTGGATTAAACAGGTTTCACTTTGCAGAGAAATAATTATAATTTGATATTAAAATTAACCAAAAGAATTAATAGTTGCCAGGGCAACACTTGAGAATAATACAGTACAATGAAATGACTGAAATGTCAAGATATATATATATCTCCTTTGTGGACATAGACATTTGGATACTTCTAAATGGAAGAAAATGTATATGATGACATGACTACAACTGACACTTTAAAAGAATCAAAAGAACAGTGCAGGAAATAAGTCTGATTTTGAAATTACTTCTAAAGTTGTGGAACAATATTTTGACAAATGAAGGACATTTGTTGTTCAAAAGGAGGAGGGAAGTATCACAACATATTTCGGACGGTCATATGTTGGATTTTGGCTATTTTCTGAGGATTTAAACAGGTGCATATGTTAGATCAATGCATTACCTCCAGGAAAAGCACTCCAAGAGATGATGAATGGAATGGAGGTAATGCATTGATCTAACATATGCACCATTTATGCCTTCAGTCTTTTGTAATGTAACCCTCGCAAGCTCAGGGTATATTGATGACAGACCTCAAGCATAGGGACATAACTGCTAAATATGAGCTTGTTAAGTTATGACAATTTCTAGAAGAGATGGTTATAACATAACATATCCATAACTCTCAACATTTATATTTTCAGCTACTAAATATATAGGAAGTGTCCTTCGAATAACTTACAAATTAGACCTTCAAATAACTCACAAATTAGACCTGCCAATAACTCACAAATTAACATATAAAAATGATAACCATAGATTCCAGCCATAATAGAGGATACCTGCAGATGAAGGGACATTTGAACTTATATGTAAGAATACACATTAAACAGTGACAAGTAGAACAAGTTCATTGGTGGATTGGTATGCAAAATAGAATAGCAATATCATTTTTGAGGTATTATCATTCACCATATTATATTCAAATTAGCTTAAAATGAATTTGAACATGACTGTATTCACACCTATAAACTGTAAAGAAAGTAAATATATTACTCGTTATCTATTCGTTGATACAACACCTGATCAACTGGAAGTAGGAAATGAAGAGTTAAATGAATTGAAGATTTTGCAATATTTTGTTGAGTTTTCATGTTCCAATCGTAATATAGACCTCAGATCAAGTGCAGAGATCATGGTAGACGCTCGCCATTCGCCAATCGCGAATTTTCGAAAGAGGTGGCGAAAAATATGTAAAGGTATTTCGCAGTTATGGCGAATTCCCTTTTTTGACGGTTTACTCACCAAACAACTTCATAAATGTTGAATTTGAATGACTTTTCAGAAGAAAACTTTTTCGGAAAAGTAGATTTCTGGTCACTCATGACGCGACATATATTAATTTTACACACTATGCTATTTCACAGTAGAACTCTATCAGTATTGTGGCGCGTCATCATGTATCTGTATATTCACTCAGGGGTAGTTGTGTCCTTCAAAAATGCCATAAAAATGCCTAACAATCTTAAACGCAAATTTGTAAAAGGAAAACAGTCATTAGAAGTGTTTAATTTTTTTCGTCAAAATGGCTAATTCATATTTTGGTTGGCTAAAAAATTTTTGGAAGAATTAGCCACAATGGCTAACAAGTTTTTTCAACTATCGTGATCTCTGTCAAGTGTTACATCAATGACGAATAAATACCTAAGGGCTAGGCACAAACTCTTTCAAAACAGAAAACCTTTGTGCTGTAGCCCTGCAGTATTAATTTGTCAATATAACACCTGGTCTTCGGTCTATATTTCTTAAATATGTAGTATAAGTTGAAGAAATTGTCAAACTTATATGCTGATTCAACTTTTGTATTATGTATCCATACACAATGTAATCCTCAAGAATTTGACACTGTCTTATCAAATGATTTTGAGGAATTTCATTTTAATCTACAAGCTGATATTGTATAGAGATAGAAGGAAGCAAATGGGCACATATATCAATATATTAGTATACATATATAGTAAATTAAAATGATATTCTGAAAAAATCACAGAATGTTCTTATTATGTTCTTCAATGAGTGTACTAAATATATTCATTCGATCTGGTGGGAAATCAACAAGTGGAGTATATCGTCACAATACCCTCTGTATATTGCTTTTCCGAAGTATATTGTGGCAATATCCTCCAGTTATTCATTTTGCCATTATGCATTTAGTACACTAAGTGTAGAATATTGATCCTACTAGCTAAATGCACACTATTACTGTATCATGTAGAAAATAATTGAGTGAATGCTGATCTAAGTACATAACAGTAATGCCTGCAAAGTAGAATGCCTTTGTAAGTAGACACTAAGTTTTCAATGTCCACTTACCCATTGACTCAAAATAAAATGAACCTCTGTAAGTCAATCATTCCCCAAATACAATACTATTTTTAGGTACCAAAGATGTACGAAAAGGTTTTACTGTACATGTCTATGTTTTACTGTACATAGTGATACCCGAGATAAAAATGTTCTTTTCAATTTCATTAAAAAATTGATTCTGAAGCACTTTTGTTTGAAAAATTTAGAATTTATTTCAAATACTCGAATATTAAAAAATGGAAAACTTTTTTTTTTGAAAAAGTCACATTTTTCAAAGAGTAATAGTTTTTCAAGTCATGAAAAGTAACATTTGAATGATTAAACTTTATTTTCAGACTTTGCATGGGGCCTTTTACATTTAAAAGGATGGAATTGTTAGCAGAAGTGATTTATTTGGGATGGGTGTTTAAGAAATATAGCCTTTTTAAGTGAATGATAAAAATTTGAATTTATATAAAAATTGTCACATTACCTGAGTAAGCACAGGAGAGATGAGTAAAGCATCTCCCCACATAAACTGACTGTCTATTCTGTATGTGATTTGATCTTGAGGATACCTATAAATATGGTAAAATATTGTTGAAAATCAGTTACAAACTGTTTTTAGGCTAGGGTAAGTTAATTTTTGGAGGCCTAATTATAATTTTGCCAAGTTTCAAATTGATGGAAGGATGCATCATTTTAGCTTCCTTTGCCTAAAAAGAATGAGTCATGTATAGATTTTATCTTTTTAATATTTGTTAACCAAAAAATAAATACAAATGCATTGAGATTGTTAATGTTTGATATGGAAACCTCGTCTTGGTCCTGTTACTTTTGGAACAGCCTGTATATAAAATCAAAGTAATGACAAACCATTTCAGATAATGTTTTGATAATTGTTGGACTTTTGAGGTTGATATAAGATAATTTTAAGGGACAAATGTTCCCTTGATGATTCAGATGGGAGAGTATGGGAATAAAACAAAAGTACTAATTACCCTAGCCTTTTTATGTATGATACATGTTGCACATAAGATAATATGTTTGATAACGGAATAAATGTTCTTAGACTTTATAAAATTGTTGACATTCTCTTAGTGTACTTTTTTATAGCTGATACTTTGGCTTAAGTCATAATTTTGCATATTTAACAGGCATTAAACAGAGGTTTGAATCATTTCTAGAGTATACAAGTACATGTATATACACCACGGGTTACTAGAGTATCCGCGTATATTGAGTATGACCGGTTCTAAGCTTACGAGTGTGACCGTATTTCTGTTCCTATAAACAGACGAGGTGAGTACTTGCTTTTTATGAACACTTTCGAACGTTTTCTTTTTATCCTACTTGGTCAATGAATGATACTTGGTATACTTATAATGCCAGGCATATCACAAGGGGCCTTAATCAAGAGAAAACGTATTAATATTAGATTGAAGCCGTAAAATCCTAGTTTCCATCATCTTTGATCAGTTTTTGTGTAACAAAACGCAACTCCGAAGAGGATGACACATCTTATGTATAATATATAGCTAGATCTACGAATTAGTCATGAATATTTTAAATAATTTAGCCTGCTCTGTCCAAATATGATACATCTTTGAATTTTTGAGAATACGAATGTCACTGGTGCCCCATTATTGGAGAATACGGTTGTGAAACAATCAGTGGGCCGTGTTACACTCGTTTCCATGACATTTCACAAGCGTATCCTCTGGGAAAAGATAAATCCTTCTCTTGCTCATTCTACGGGGGATCATATAAACTGAGATTTGGAGATCTTGTTCAGGTTAGCCATAAAAAGGTTTGGGATTTGTTTTTTTCTACTGTGATATTAATGATTTGGCTCTAAGGCGAGAAATCTGTACTTTCTGATTGATATTCCATTATGAACAGTTACATTGCTAAAATAGCTCATGTTTAACATTTTTTTGTTACATTACTATTAAATACAGCATAAACTATATTCAACAAACACAATTTCAAAAAGGATAATATAGAAGTTAACCTTTATTTTCCATTTTAAGCAGCTGTGCCTCTCATGACTTTCCAAAACAGGTCATATTCGTAGCCTAAGAACCGGTCATACGCCATATACGCGGAAACTCTATTAGCCCGTGTACACTGTACATAAAGTTTCAATTTTTCACACAGCAAAGAATTTCACTTTAAAGTGATCACTTCTACAATTCTTCATCACTTCTTAATACAATATACTTCTCTCTGTATATCAATAGAGCTATTTACGGATAGGCACACTTACTAGAGGCACATTTTGGAAAAATTGCCCAGACTTACTTAAAGAATAAGGGTCTAACAACCGGGTCTCCATATACATGACTCCTATAGAAGAGCCAGTAGAGGTAAGGAAGCAGCTTGTAGCGTATCAACAATGCACGTCTTGAAGAGGCAGCAACACCAGGACCAAGAGAGGCAGGGTCCTGATCCTAAATTACACATATACTGAATGAGCTTGGTGTGGATATATGGCACTTATCTATACAAATATGTATGTAATGTATACAAGATGATATAAATCAAGGAAAAAATGAGGCCAAATTTTATCAGGATTAATGTTCATTTTATACAAGAGTTAATATGAGACAGATACATTCCATGTAAAGTTACTACAGATATATGATGGATACTAAATAAAAAGGGTATTTCAAATAAATATATGTGTGCACTGAATGAGCTGTATTGAGCACTTTCATTGGAAAATCTTCAAAAACTAAGATTACATATTAACAGCTTAAATGTCAAATAATCCATTTTCATCAATAGGTCATTTAGCAGTGCTCAAGTTGGAATTCACAGATACAATTTTTGAATTTCAAGAAAATTTCATAATAATCCTTACTATTGTTCCCTGCTCATTGTGGTTTCTGGAAAATGGGTAAAATGCACCAAGTTGCATCCATCTTTGACATAACTCGGGTGTTGTGTCACTATGGAAACCACAGATATCAGCACCAATCATTGATATTCCGTACATATTGCCATTGAGAATAGCTGAAATACAACAAGCTTTGATGAAAACCATTCATATAAAATGGTTCATAACGCAGCAAACAGAAAAAATGCAAACCACATAGTATCATTAGATTTTATTTATTATTAGGTGTTCTGTAATAAAGTCTTACCTGGTATTGACATACGAAGATCATGCCAGGTGGCGCTGTTGTCCCCAGTCCAATGTCCGCCATACTGACCATGTCCAGCGTATGTGGATCTTGAGATCACAAATGGACGCAATTCCCGGGACCTCTCTAACGCTCTAAAAGTGAAAAAATGCTTTAATTGATGCATCTTTAATCTTGCATATGTGACACTTTTAATGAGAAATGTCATTTGGTGTGCCATGTACTATTAAATTTAACTAAAGATATTAAATGGGCTCAGTGTCCAACTAAAGTAGAACAAAATTAATTAATTATAACTTCCACCATAAATAAACAATGAAAAATTTATTATCTGGAATATAAAAAATATTGCTCATGCCCAAATATAAGTGTATAAATAACCTTTTGAAAATCCTAAAGAGTGCATGCACCTTTTACTTGCACCAGATGTTCTGCAAAATTTAGGCTGTTTACATTTTTTTATTGTGTTATATGGGTCAGAGTTAAAGACAGCTCCTTTAACAGACTGCTTCCAGCATTTAACTTACTTATATGAAGCTTGAGCCATCATGAGGCCATATAGATTATGTAGGTCATAGTGAAGTCCTGGGAGGTCAAGACCCTTGTCTCTACGTCCAAGACTTTGGTGGGCAGTTGCACATAATGTCATGAACCTCAGAGTGTAGTTGGCCACAGCTGGAATGACAGATTTCCCGGGGAATTATGAAACATGTGAAACATATGTAAAATACACTAGATAACAAAAAAGTGTCAGTCATTTGAAGTAATTATAAGTGTATCTTCAATCTTTTAAATAAAGAAATGAAACAAAGTTATATTATTTTGATAGAGACTGAAATTAATTTGATTGAGATCGCTGTGTTGATTTTCATATAAGAAGTACACATTGGTAGTAACATACCAGGTAAGTATGGTGGGTTCTCTAGTGTAGAGTTGAAGTCACAGAGTGTAACACTGTCATTGTTTCCCAAATTGCTTGGCTCATTCATATCCTAGAAGAATATAAAGTAATACAATATATAACTCCATTGAATTTTAAATACCACAGTACATCCCTTTTCGCTTTTCATATAAAACAACAGGATTATAGGGTATAACTATTTGACATTCTGATGCAATTACCATAAAAGGTATTAAAGAGACCTGTTAAATAAAATTATAAAGGGACTGGTCAATGTAAAAAGCATGATATTGAAAATATGAAAATGACCATGTTGCATATGGGAAATTGTATACCTTTCTCTTGAAAGCCCATAGTTTTTATTGCCACTAAATTTACAATTCTCAAGGAACATCATAGGTTTCAGACAGATAAAAAGATGGCAGTATGGTTTATTTATAGTTGTATCTTCTGTTTCTATGACCATATTTGCTGGAATTACTCCACAAAATCCGCTAAAACGTTTTAGTGGAAGGCGCTTTACAAAATCGCCATTCTGATTACACAAACATTTCTAAAGCCTTTTAGGAATTACATTTTGGAATTACACCTGTTTTTTCTAAAACGCCTTTCGTGCACTTTTAACGATGTAGTTATGGATAATATCGAGCATACATGTATGTGTACATCTCCTGTAAATGTATTCTTTTTGCATCTAAGACAAAACTGATCTTCCATAATTTGATTAAAAATGCATGACATCGCATAATTTTTATTTATCTTCTATTTTTCTGTGTGATGTCCATCATTTCTTGGGCTTTTGTTGATGCCCAAATGTCAAGCATTCTCTTTGTGTTTGTATCATTCCAATAAAATCGAGACATTTCAATAGACTTGAACGAATACTGATATAATATACTTTATAAATCTAAGAATTTTCACTTTCACTTTTCCGGAATTGAGGTCTTATTTCATTTAGGGCAAATGTTAAAAACTAGTAAAAACCCAGGTAAGGCGTCTTACAAAAACCGATCGGTATTACACTGCACACTTAAAGCGCCTAATGACTTATGTCGTTTACTAGTGACAAGGGTTCTTGGTGTTTTAGAAAAGCGCTTTTGTAAAACCGCAATCATGATTACACCTAATTCTTAAACCTGGTTAAAACCGAAGAAGCTTTTGTAAAACGCCATGTGTAATACCAGCAATAAAAACCTATGAGCAATATCTTCAATAGTCCATTGCCTTATGCTCTCGCAAAATATTAAGTTCAAATAAAATTCTCATTTGAATAATGCTGCAAAATGTTCAAATCCTTTGCTTGCAAGGGTGTGTTTTCTGCTGCTGTCCCCAACTTCACAACCCTTGGTTTTCACAAAAAGAGACATATTACCACCCCCTAGCATGAAATTATAAAATTCTAAGACTGCCAGATTTTAAAGAGGGTATACTAGTAGAAAGTGCCAAATTGATTTTCCTGGAATTTTCTCGTTTATTCCAGACAATGTACATGTACATGATATAGGAGACTAGGAGTGATATCTCACACTGCATGTCAATCAGATCGATCACTGTAAATACTCATTTGGGTGGCTGCCTGTTTTCTGAGAATATGCGTTGATTCTAAATGACTGAAGCTACAATCAACACGATTGCAATGTTGCCCCAGTATGGATCCTTTATAACATCTTAGAGCTTAACTCTAATCCCTATAAAATCTGTACATACATCATACCCGTAGTTTTTTTACAGAGCAAGAGTGAGGCAGTCTCAACTAATTATTTTCAGTACAGTCCTAACCTCGCATGAGAGTTGAACTCTTATCCTCATAAACTTCATACATATATCATACTATATGAATTGTTGTATTTTGCAGAGACGATGATTGTTCCGCAAGGAATATTTAACAACTTTATTATTTTTGTAGACATGGAGCATACGGCATATTGTGTATATGTATCATATGTATGTATCCATATCTTTCCAGAAACTCTCACAACACTCAGTAGGATATCACATCATATGCTGAAGATGGGTCTCATCTTCCTGAAATACAAACCATGTGGAATTTGAATCATGTACCAAGGAGGCACCACTGAATTTATGTGGACATAGTAAACTCAAATTGGAATGTGCATCAGAAGTGGCTTAAAGCTGAGAACTCACAATGACATGATTATTCAGGGGCGGATCTGGGAACCAACAAGGGGGGGGGCTAAACTTCTGGTCTGAGAAAAAACTTCCCTTAAAACCAAAAAGTGAGCCAAAATTTAAAGGCCAATTTTTGGGGCCTTAAGGCCTTTTTGGCTTTTTTTAGCCACCCTCCAGATCTGCCAGTGTTATTATAGAACCTAGAAGACCACCCCACTGCACACACTTTGACTGGACAAAGTAACATTATCCATCGAATCTGCTAGTCATCTATCTGGTAGTGCTTTATGTCACCAATGAAATAATACCTTGGAGAATTATTGTAACATTGCATTGGCAGAATTCTATGAAAATTCTTTTAGCGTATAAAACAATTTTGGTAAACATTCAATAAATTGCAGTATCTAATCAATTAAAACTGCTACATATTGCACCAACAAATGGATTGGATTGGATTGGATTCCATTGAAACATCATGATTATTATTGTGGTAGCTCCTGATTGAACATGTGAACATATAATGTAGTTCTTCTAAATATATGATGCATTATTTATTTCAATTACTTATCCACTGCTTGACATTGTTTCATTCTGCTGCAATCCTGATGCATCTCATATTTTCACTGTTCCACAGCTGGATGACTCTAACTGCCGTTAGCATCATTCAAGATGGTTCATGAAATTCTTTCGTTTTCGATAAACCTCTGATTTCAGCTAAACTCAGATGAACCTTGATTTCGAAAGTTTCGCTTGCAAACTAATAAAACACAAACTAGAAAAACAGCAACTCCACGGAGTAGCAAATCCCAACGAACAAAACATATTTTGATTATTACAAACAGAGGTACCAACTCCGTCCACTTGTATTTGAGTTATTAAAGATTATGCTTTTTTATGAAAAAATGGTGGTCATCTTGAAATTAAACTGCCACCTTGAAAATTCTTTCTTGAAAAAATCTACTTTTTCCCTAGGCATCATCATATAAAATTTTAACCAAATCTGTTCACTTGTATTTGAAGTTTTTTTATGAACAAAGGCCGCCATTTTGATATTCAGCAGCCATTTTGAAAATCTCTTTTTCAGCATAATTCCTTTCTCCGTAGGCATCAGCATATAAAATTTGAACCAAAGCTCTTCTTTGGTATTTGAGTTATCAAAGATTAAGGTTTTTACGAAAAATGGCATTCATTTCGAAATTTTAGCTGCCATCTTGAAAATACTTTCTTGAAAAATCTACTTTGTCCCTAGCCATTGTCTTATAAAATCTGAACTAAATCTGTTCACTGGTATTTGAGTTATCAAAGATTACGTTTACAATTTTTTACAAATAATGGCCGTTCACTGGTATTTGAGTTATCAAAGATTACGTTTACGATTTTTTACAAATAATGGCCACCATTTTGATATTTAGCAGCCATTTTAGAGTAGTATTAGAATTCGTCCTGCAACAGATTTTTATTTGGTATTTATTCACAGATAACCATATTTTCATTGTGGCAAGCATACTAAGCAGAGTGAATGCCATGCAAGTTAATTTTCCCATAGAGAAATAAACTGCGGTAAAATAGATCATATTGACCCCGCAGTGCGAGTTATCACTGAAATGTAAAAACTCCATTTGATTTTGATATCATGCGGGGTCCCGTTTCGCTTTCAGTAGTTTCCTAATCCTTTTAATGTGCTTCATTATGTTCACTTCACCTTTGTTAAAAACCTGTTTTTATTGCTGTTCATGCTGTGCTCAGTTTATATTCCTTATATGGTAAACTTACTCACTCATGAGTTGGGATGTTGGCCCTAGTAGGTTGTTACTTGTTGTAGAGATGCTATGTTCATAAGTTGGAATAGATTTTATCATATTTTATTTACGATTTTGTTATTCTTTACTTGCCACCCACGACCTTAGCCCCGGACATTACAGATGTTTCATACATAAGCACTGCTTTGGCATTTCAAAATTGGAGAAAAATGCTGAATGTACACATTTCAAGAAAAATCTTAGTTTGTACTTTTCATGTATCATTTAAAGAAATAACCAAGAATAAAACCATGATTACCACACATGTTAATAAAAGAGAACATTCCCGAAGAATTATATTTTTTCATTGTAAATTGGTTTGAATAATTATGCAACATCCAGAGAACATTTTGTACCTGTTTTTCTTATTGTTTACTTAAAATGAAATTAAACATATTTTATACTTTAATCACATTCAAATTTGATTTTTCTTCAATGTAATACTAAAACATATATATCTATTTAAAACTCTTTGAAATGTCATCAGCAAAGGGTCCAGCAATCACTGCTCATTTCGAAGTTATATTTATACAAGATTAAACAAATGCCCCTGTATACTCTTCTCTTGAAAGCCTATGTAAAAAATATCTAGTTTTGAACATAATGTTATATGATATACAATAATACCTACTGGCTGAGGAAGAGGATAATAATACTGCATTAGTATATTGATGAAGAAAAGGATTATGTAGATATAATCCAAATCCAACCCATTAACTTTAATGACACATTTGGCAAATACTCAGAATCCAAAACCTTAGGGATACATGAATTAATTAAGGTAGTTACACACTGGTGAATCAAATATGATTCCGCATTATAGCATGAGGAGCAATAATTTGATGATTTATTCATGTTAAGGCCATATTAAATCCACTATATCAAACTTAAAGTATTTTTAGTCTACATAAATATACAATTTTGATTGATTTTATGAGTTATACGAAGTTATGCCATTCTTAGTATATGTGTTTGAGTTGGCTACATTTAAAAAATAACCATACCGAACATGGGGGATCAAAATGGTTGTCTAGCTTTGAGTGAAAAACGAAGTTTGACACAACCACTATCATTGCCTGATTATGAAACATAATCATTTGATGATCATTTTTATATAAAACAAGCTTTATCTTAAAGGGTGACGCATATCGTTTAGCAAATCGAACGCTTGTTTCTGGTGTTGCTCACCGTTTAGTATAAAAGGCCCGATCCCGGAATAATACTCAAGGGTTCACAGGCTCGAGGTCGTTGTGTCAACACCTCTAACTGTTATATAGCATAAATATATTATAGATCGTCACACATTTATAAAAGGGCGATTTTTATTTTGACTAATCAATTCCACATTTATGGGTGTAGCTTCAGGATCTTCTATTTGTGTATAATAAGGAAAAATTGGCATCTAAATTTCCCCATAACGTAATAGCACACAGCTTGGCATATATGAAATACCCTTCCAATGAAACAAAGCAGTTCTAATACAAGGATTTATATTGGCTGTTGTACATGTATTCTTTGAACACAATCACTCTTTGGATAATGTTTTCAAAATCATTATAAACGGATTACTTTATCTCAAAGACAATTTCAATAAACTGGATTTTACAAAACTCCCCTTATTTCTTAAAAATGGACTGATCCAGTTGATTTGCCTGGAGCCGCCATATTGTTTTTATACGGGAAGCTTATCGGAACCCTTTAAATCTATTCTTGGGCTGGGGGTGTATAATTACCTTAAAACATCAACATTCTGGATATAGGCCAAATGTTAAGGCCAGTGAATACGAGATCTAGCTGTTATTTGGCTAACAAGGATATATATGAGAATATAGAAAAATATCACAATGACATGAACATGTATAAATGAATGACACAAATATATCAATAACAAAAAAATATTGAAAAAATAAATGAACATTCCATCTGACAATTGAAACATATATGGGGTAATTGCAATAACATTGAATAGAATAAACAAATATAGTATTGGACATAGGGTACAAAGATAAACTGGTACAGTGTAATTGGAATAAAATGAGGCCAATAAGGGTATTACAACTGCTGTGTATATGTAGGAGTTTGTGCATTATATTACACATTCAACATCTCGATGCAAGTTTAAGCCCAATAAGTGGTCCTCCGAATACAGATGGCTCAACAGGTGGTCCACCAAATACAGATGACGCAATAGGTGGTCCACCAAATACAGACGGTTCAATAGGTGGTCCACCAAATACAGACGATTCAATAGGTGGTCCACCAAATACAGATGACGCAATAGGTGGTCCACCAAATACAAATGACGCAATAGGTGGTCCACCAAATACTGATGATTCAATAGGTGGTCCACCAAATACTGATGATTCAATAGGTGGTCCACCAAATACAGATGATTCAATAGGTGGTCCACCAAATACTGATGATTCAATAGGTGGTCCAACAAATACAGATGGCTTAACAGATGGTCCACCAAACCTAGATGGTTCAATAGGTGATCCACCAAATACAGATGGTTCAATAGGTGGTCCAACAAATACAGATGGCTTAACAGATGGTCCACCAAACCTAGATGGTTCAATAGGTGATCCACCAAATATTGACGATTCAATGTGTGGTCCACCAAACACAGATGGTACAATAGATGGTCCACCAAATACAGATGATTCAATAGGTGGTCCACCAAAAACTGATGATTCAATAGATGGTCCACCAAATACAGATGATTCAATAGGTGGTCCACCAAATACAGATGATTCAATAGGTGGTCCACCAAATACTAATGGTTCAATGTGTGGTCCACCAAATACTGACGGTTCAATAAATGGTCCACCAAATACAGATGGCTTAACAGGTCCACCAAACAATGATGGTCCAACAAATACAGATGGTCCAATAAATGGTCCAAAAAGTAGTTATGGTTCAACAGAAGGTCCACCAAATACTGTTGATCCTACTGGAAGTACACAAAGTCCTGATAGCCCTGTTGATGATACTGAAAGCACTGATGGTACAACTCCTGCAGTCATTACATCTCCAGCTACAATCCCAAACGATATATTTGCCTCATTACCAACCAATTGTACTGTAAACAGCTGGTCATTGCAGGTTCCAGATTGCACACATCATCAATATTATTCATGTGATAAGAGATGTGGTGAGTCTAAACTTGGAAAAAATAGATTTTGCTCTTGTCATCCATTGTGTATGATCTCCAAAGATTGCTGTCAAGACTTTCAAGATAAATGCCCTCAGTTGTATCAAGCTGGCAGAGAAAAACATGACATATTCCTCAATGAATCAAACAATATTGTCCAATGTTCGAGTATATTTGGCCAGCGTGAGAAGGAAAAATGGTGGATCGTTGCAACATGTAAAGAGAATTACTCTAATAATTTGATAAAACAGAATTGTGAAATGACTTCAGATGTCTTTGTATCTGTATTACCAGTGATTTCAAAAACCACAAATGTCACGTATAAAAACTATTTCTGTGCTCTCTGCAATGATGTTGATTATGAACCTTGGAGAATAGTAGATGTTAACTGCAGCAACATTTGGCCAGGCTCTCTTGACACTCCACAGAAGTTGTTGAACTATGTCCAAGATGGTACATGTCAAATAACATATGAAGTTCCAATTGAGCATGAATGTATTGATGAATCAAATGCGAGACTTGAAACTGTGCAGTGTGCAGATATGGTAAGAAACTCCACAAATGGTCAATGCAAGAATGCGTATGCAAATCTGTGCAAAAATGGATATCAAGTGCCTATCATACATCAACAGGTTTATGGGTATAAAAACATATACTGTTTGATATGCCAAGAAATAGAGTTTTCAGTGACTGATATACAGTGTGGACTGAAGTTTGGAAACTCACAAGGTCATACTGAATCTCAGAGTCTTACCAAATTTTCATTTAATATCCTGGTGGACTTCCACTCAACAAGCTCAAATAAGGTTGGATTTGTTTTTCAAGATGACACTAAAGTGTTTGGTTGCAGTATGGACAATAAAGAAGAAAACTGTGTCTCATTTTGCTCAGCTGGACATGAATACATAAACGGAGAATGTGTATTCAAATTTCTGTTATTCGATATGAGAGTAAATGGAAGTTGGTTTGTGCCAGGATTGAGGGAACTACAAGAGAGCAAGGCTCGGTACTTTGAAATGAAGAAGGGGATAATACAGTTTCTAAATACCATCTTCAAAAGCTATATTGTAAAAAATATTATCCTTGGACATGAAGAACTCATAAGAGATACAAATCAAACTGAACTATTGCCATTTGATATTCAGCTAACATTGAAATTAACTGAAGAGGAATTTATCAATGCGACAAAATATCAAATCAATCTAAAGAACTTTGAATATGTGCAGAATAGCTTATCCAACTTTCGTATTTATACTTTAAAGATATTACACATGGAGTTGTTTTACTATAAAACAGAATGGGAGGAGGGGAAAAATATATCAATAAACTTGACACACAATTATGATATGGATCCTGAACAACTGGAAAAGACTGACTCATTCAATCTAACTTCATTGAATGTGACAGAATGCCCAAAGAGAGATTTAGAGCCAGATGAATTCAAAATGCTGGACAACGGAAGCATGTTGGTTATTCCAACAGAAACAGTTATAAAACCTGAGGACTTTACTATTGCTAGGAATGTTGTGTATATATGTGTAAATGAATCAGTGTGGTTGGACAAATTGACAACTGTGTGGAAGTTTGATGAATCAATGGGTCTATTGACGATCGTGTGCATGAGTCTTTCCTTAGTCTGCCTCTTGATTAGAATCATTCTTTAACCCTTGGTGCCAGTATTTCAGACCTCACCAGGAAGACAACAGTTTGGACTTGTCATTGCCCTCTTTCTAGCAGGTATTTTCTTTCTAATTGGCCCAAACTGTACAAACCTGAGAGAGCTATGTACAATCATGGCTGTTCTGATTCATTTATGTTACCTAGCAACCTTTACATGGACTGTAATCATAGCTCATGACATGTACATTATTTTGGGTTCTTCTAGTATAACCAAGTCATCAGACAGAGGTTCATCCCTTTTGGTAATACATTGCTTCATAGCATGGGGACTTCCCCTAGTAGTTGTTGCTATTGCATTGATTTTTAACTTCACAAATGTGAGCCCTGATTTCAACCCAAGGTATGGCGATAGTGTCTGTTGGATATCCCGTAGAATACCTTTGTTGGTGTTCTTCGCTCTACCTATGGGTTTAGCAGTGCTAGTCAACCTTTTTTATTTCATAGCAACTGCTATATCTTTATGGCGTGCAATGTCAATTCGAGCAGAAACCACATCTCAAAACAAGCAATATCCATTTGGGATTTACGTAAAGTTGTTTTGTCTCATGGGGTTCACTTGGATATTTGGATTCACAGCTTCATATCACGTTGTCTTATCTTACATCTTCATAGTTCTCAATGCCAGCCAAGGAGTCTTTATTTTTATAGCCTTTGTCCTTAGAAAGGCAGTATGGAAATCATTTATTGGTAAAAAAAGTAAGAAGACAAGTTCCCCATCTACGCAACAAACATTAGCAAATGTTAGCGAGAGTGAAAAGAGGATTGAAAATGAGACAAAGAAGAATAAGAGAGATAAGTACAAAAGGAGTGAGAATGATATGTCAGTTGTTTAAAAACTTCACATGTACCTCCAAAAGTGAGGTAAGATCTACCTAAATACATACAGTTATCTGAAATAATAAGCCACATACCTGTAGTTAATCTTATATTTAATTTCTACAGCAGACAGGGATTTGAAAATTTTGTTCTAAGATGAGGGGCAGGAAGTGAAAAGTGTGATTCATGACCAGTTTTGAGAAGCAGCATCTAAACTTTCCCTTGACTTTTAAATAATATACAGTAATATAAGTTTCCCTTTTGGGCATCTTTCAAGTTCACTGCTTTCATAGCAGATCATGTAATGTAATGCAATGAATTACTCTTGGGCCAAGGATGCCTTTTGGGATTAAACCTGATACCTTTATGAGTAATGGCAATTAGTAATTATGATTTTTAGATGAACCAATAAACACTAAAACAGGTAGATCCCCAGAGAGACATGAGTCAGGAGGTAATATGCCCACACTGAAGTATTATGTATTTATTCACGGTTGAATCACGAAGTATGAATTAGTGTATAAATAATTTCTGTACGGTCAAGGTGATTTGGAATGATCTATTAATAGAAGGAGGTCATGTATGAGTGGATTGTTTTCTTGGGTATTGAAAGGTTTTGTAGGCGTCATCTTGGTTCTAAACGCCAAAGCGGGTGGACTAAACTTAAAGTATCACATTATCTTAGAATAACACGTATTTAGTTTATTGTATGTTCAAAAACTAATTACCATGGTTATTAGGTAAATACTTATAGTAGTTAAAATCCTCACACTGCTCCTTTTGATGGAGAGGTGGAGCTCCCTATAGAATATTCTGTGAAATATACGCTGGTGTATTGCAGTTTTTATATAAAGGGTTGGGTTCCCGGATCAGGAGACGGTGCAACAGTTGCATCGTTAACAATTTTGGTCACAGACAAACCATTTTATTCAAGTGCAAAAAAGCAACTCTTGTATCAGCAAAATAGTTTGTAGACGCCAAATCAATACATAATAATCGATAAAGATAGCATTGTAATAATGTTAATTAATTTTAAAGATAAAGATGATATTGTATTTGTCAGTTGGAATAAACGGTTACTGCAGCTCCACTCTCAGGGCTTGGCGCAGAACCATACCTAAGAGGATGTGTGTTAGGTTTTTATTGAGAATGAAGAAGCTTTGTTAGGACAGAAGTGGAATATAAAAATTATTAAGCAATCAACTTTGCAATTTCCATAATCTTTAATATCCAATATCCATATACTATTGCTATAATATTATTTAATACTTACTATCCACATGCCATCAAATTTGACCTTGTCATAGAAGAGAGACACTACATGGGTCCAGTAATCGGTGGCATCAGGGTGACTCCAGTCTGGCCATACTGTTTCATTTGGCCACACCTAGTAGCAATCAAATACACCACATTACAACATGCTGCAATTTACAAAGCTTAACTTGCAAAAAATAATTGATTGCAAAAAATATTTTTCTCTCTTTACAAAGAGAATACAATTTCAAAATCTTAGATAACTTATGAAACTTCTTTATATTGTTTGATCTATTTGATGTTATTATATACCCAATATGTGGCTTATTTCGAGCAATAGTGTAAATTATTTCCCCTTGGGAATATGCTCTATAATGTACTATTCCCGAAGCCGCATAGAGGATATTTCCTCAGGGAAATAATTTACGCTACCGCCCTAAATGGCAGTCACTATTTGTATAATATGAATGTAAATTGATTATTCATGTAGTTGTAATATATTTATACAAGAACACCCTATGCAGACAGAGCCTGTGGGAAATATTGGGTGCGGAGCAAATGAGCGGAGGGTGCGGAGCTAACGGTCATTTTTGAATTTAAATTTGGGATATTTCTGAAACTAAGCCGTTTTGGGACTTCAAATATACCAAGATATGTGTATTTGACACCAAATATCAATACAATTGTGAAAATAGTAGCGCAATTCATTCTATAGCGACGCAGTGTGCCTTAAACCTTTCCCAGACCTATATATTTTGAAATTATCCTTTTAATACTGAGTCCCCAGCATTCATAAAAAATGGTGTTCAAGGTACACTATCTACACAAATTGTTTTTGCATCTTGGAAGCCAGGCAGTATCTGTGTGATTTTATAAAAATTCGGAAATGTTTTTCAGATATGAGCCCCATCTAAATATTGGGTGCAAAAGGGAAATGTTAAAGGCATACTGCGTCACTATAAAATGAATAGCACTACTATTTTCACAATTTTATTGATATTTGGTGTCAAATACACATATCTTGGTATATTTGAAGTCCCAAAACGGCTTAGTTTCAGAAATATCCCAATTTTAAATTCAAAAATGACCGTTAGCTCCGCACCCTCCGCTCATTTGCGCCACACCCAATATTTGCCACAGGCTCTGTCTGCATAGGGTGAAGAAAGAAAATCAAAATCATACATTGCATTTGCTTTATAACTGAAGCCCCCTCCCTTCGTACCTTTAAACAGAATAGCCATCAAAATGCAATAACCTATTGTACTACATAAAGTATTTTATGTGTTTTGTTATCAAAGCAACATAATTGGGACTGAATGCAATTGTTGATTTTAAACAGTTTTAACATGGAAGTCAATGGGTCATGAAAAGAGGCCCTAAAAATGTTCTCATTTCATTAAATTCAATGAAAACAGAACTAAGGACATCTTAATGTACCTTTAAACATACATTACATACATGTGACATGTATGTACTGAGCCAAGAGAAAAAACAATATAAGAACACCATTTTTTAGATAAATAGGAAGGGAGAAAATTGGTTTGAATTAGCAAACAGTTAACATCAGTTACCTTGCCCTTAATTGGTTGTTTTCCAAACCCATCTTTGACGAGGATGTCTTTCTCTATGGCAAGATCATAAGCAGGGTAGCTACCCTTAGTATGAGCTGTGGAGATAGCGGCATCCTTGGAACAGAAATACATCAAGTGACTCTTTATAGGTTCTATTTTATCTGTCTTAAGTAACTGCAATATTATGCTTACTAAAACATTTTTCTGAACAAACTTTCCTTAATGAGCTCATGGGCTTTCAACTATTGAAAGCTCAAGATGAACTGAACCTATCAGATTGAGAACCAAAACCTGCTGAATGAAGTCTAAGAATCACCACAGATGAGATACAAATGGAAAATACAGTACATTATTATAAGTTACATTGACTCACAAAATTTCCACCAATATACAGAACTCTGTCATTTCAGAGATCACACTCACTTCAAAGAAATGGACTCATAAACCAATTAACTCACTCATATCAGAGATAGACTTGCTTCATATAGACATGCTCTCATGATCCTATTTACTCACTTACTGGATACACTCACTTCATACAGACAGGCACACATAATCCCATTTTATTATTGTACTCACTCGTATCAGAGATAAACTCACATCATGTAGACATGCCCTCAAATCCACTTATACTTACTCATATCAGCAATACACTCACATCATGCCCCCATAATCTTATTGTACTTACTCATATCAGAGATACACTCACATCATGTCCCCATAATTTAATTGTACTCACTCATATCAGAGAAAAACTCGCATCATGTAGACATAATCCACATGTACTCACTCAAATCAGAGATACACTCACATCATGCCCCCATAATCTTATTGTACTTACTCATATCAGAAATACACTCACATCATCCCACTTAATTCACTTATTTATACCCTTCATGTACTGTAGACAATAGACATGCACTCACCACAATCATGATATAATGCAGGCCCTCTGAGTGTAGCTGTGTCACCATAGCAGGTAGATCTCCAAACTTCTCAGGGTCATAGGTGAAATCCATGTAATTGTTGGCATAGTCCATGTCATTCCATTGCACATCCTAAACACAAATAGAAAAGACTTGGTGCCGCTAAAAATAAACTTGACTATTGTGATTGAGTTTTTCCCATAGACCACATATTTTAAAATCATTTATGTGAAATATATTTCTTTCTTGAGCTAATCATAATTTTGTTTACTGAATACATTCTAAATAAAAATTGGTCCTCAAATCTCATAAAAACGATTCATAAATCTCAGTTACAAAATAAAGAAACCCTTCTACATGTATTTGTTTTTAATATCTTTAAAATCTATATTGATTACAATTAGTCTAAATAGGCTATAGTAAAAATGTTCCTTTATACAGAACAAACATACTTTTACCCATTATTATTACTTGTTTGAGTAATATAATTTCTAATGTTTTTGACCAAAATTGTATGGCACACCCTATACTAACCTGTGGAATTCCAGCTTTTCTGAGTCTGTGTACGACATCAAGTGTCCTTGATGTTGTGTTATATCCCCAGCGACACTGGTGATAGCCCAGGCTCCAGTAGGGAGGCATGAATGACCTGCTTACAAGTTGAGTGTACTGCTGGACAACCTCTATTGGAGTCGGCCCCAATAGGATGTAGAAGTCTAATACACCACCTATTGTTCTCCATGTTATTGCTGGTGTGGGTTGAAGGATCACATCTGAAATAAGGACATTTTGATAAATAAGTTAATGTGCTTTGTTCATTTTTTGTTCACTCGATGTTCAAAGTTCAACTTGAAATGTAATAGTTTCTTCTAATATATAATACTAATGCATATACAAACCACATCTACAGGGTGTCCCGAAAGTATGGGGCCCCCCCTAGGCAGACATATACCAGTGTTGTCATAGTATGTGTCATATATCATTTTAATGCTTATCCAAAGTTACATTGATTTGCCAAGTATCATGGTTCAACTCTCAAATGTGAAAAAATTACAGGCATTTCAAAATTTAGTGTTTGGTCAAAATTAAGTTCAATTTTACACCAAATCAATAGTCAAAGTGTCCTCCCGGGCAATCTAAACAGCAGCAATTCTTTTCGGGTCGGATAGATATTGAGTTGGAAAAAGAGAACGGTGAGGGTAGAAACTCTAAGGAAACTCTTCTAAAGTGCCTTAACAGGTTTTAAGAGGGTTATAAAATTCCACACCCCTATTTAAAGGGCTTTTAAGGTCATATCTGAAAATAATTACTGCTGTTAACAAGGCCAAGGGGGGACTCATTGACTTGTAATGTTGTGTGAAATTGAACTTTATTTTGACAAAACACTAACTTTTAAAATGACTGTAACTTTTTCCCATATGGGAGTTAAACCATGATACTTAGCAAATCAATGTAACTTTGGATAAGCTTTAAAATGATATATGACATATACTATGAGGACACTGGAATACCTCTGCCTAGGGGGGGCCCCATACTTTCGGGACACCCTGTATAATACAGTTGAAATGTATAATCAATAAATTAGTAATACAGTAAAACCTTTGTATAGTGAACACCTTTCGAGCCACAAAAGTGTTCATTGTACTCAGGTGTTCACCACGTTTTTTTGTACAGTAGTCAATTGCATATGATCTGAGAAATGGTGTTCACCAGGGACAAGTGTTAACTTAATACGGGTGTTCGCTAAATAGCTTTTAGTTTTAGAAGTCATTGATGCTGGTGTACTTTTTTGAGAAATGGTGTTCACTAGGGGCAGGTTTTCACTATGACAGGTTTTGGTGAACATGTAGCTAAAATATTCTGATTTGGCCAAATATTTATCAACTCCTCGTCTCCTGTTACATGAATTAGGATTCAGGACAAGGCATTAACATGCAAAATGTCACCACCTACCATTTGTTACAGACACCATGTGTTACAGATGTCGACTGCCGGGTGCTGAGCCGAACACCAAACACCATCCACAAGAAAGTTGGAGAATATAACAATATGTCATCATTTGTGATGGTGACATAATAATGATAACATACATACCCATAGCATTGCTGTTTAATAAGAAGACCCCATGACTGAGTCCACTGTCCTCCATGACTAGGTAGAAGGGGTGGCTCCCATACAGGTTTGCATCTTCCTGAAATATGAATGATTCAGGTTAAATATACCCTATTGATGTGTGAACATGTACATAAGTTTAAAGGTTTGTATTTTAGTTTCCTTTGGGCTACTTTCTAAACCAACAACTATAACCATCATGTTGACCCTAGAATCCTTAAATTGACTTTAAAATGACATTTTCAATTTAAATATACATTGTTTACCAAACAGATTAAATCTTGAAGCATATAACAATAAAAAAAATTAAAAATATATTTAATTTATAGAAGTAGACTCCTTTATCAGTGTACCCTCAATGACATTTTGTCATTGTTTTTTTCTGTTTCCATATAGAGGGTAATCAGAATACAGTACCTCTATAGGGAAGTGATCCCTATTCCACATGGTGAATCTGGACCAGCTGGTGTTGAGATTTAGGTGAGATCTGTGCTGACCAAGGCCATAGATGTTGTGAGAAGGTAGAAGACTGGAGATCTGGAGGAACTGATCACTGAATATCATAGCACCAAGCGAGGTGTCCATTCTACAAAGTGAATTAGACTATCATACAATTCACCCGAATTCTGCATTCTAATTGGGTTGATAGCTGCCCTGTATTTTACAATACCATCCATGAAAACCATATCAATCATATTATGCTTAGTACTTGTTTGAATGAGTAGTAATCTGACCTTTGAAGATTTAAATATGACACATACAGTCAAACATGTCTAATCCAAACGCCTCTGGGACCAGCCAAAAGTGGTTGGATTAGCAGGTGTTCAGATTTAAAGTTTTTTTCAAAATAAGTTCAATGGAAGGCAACAAATTTTGGACCAAGAAAAAGTGTTCATATTGTGAAGTTTTTGGATTTTAGAGGTGTTCGGATATACAGGTCTCACTGTACATGTAGTTCAATTGATTAAACTGTTATTTTTTGTGATTCTGAATACTTACAATACTGTTTCATTATGTTTGCCATCAGCTTTACGAATAACTTTGAAATGAAATGTATCATTCTGTATGTGAATTCTATAAGCTGGGTCATGCGGGGGTTGTCTTGCAGGATCTAGAACTATCGGCACTTCATAACGATTGGCCACACTGTCATATATCTAAAACACATAATTATTTGCAATTCAAAAGTGCCATTTTTTGCTCTTGCAATATGCTGATATATAACTCATGGTGACATTGAGTATATCATGTAGCTTTTTTACATACATATTTTTTCATAATAAATATTAAATAAATAAGTTTTTTAGTTTGAAAGTGAAATTCATCCATATCCATTATGCTCTCAAGGTAGATAAAATATTAGGTAGACCAAGTGGGGAAAGTCTAATGAATTATTTCCTTAAGGTAGGCTATAAGTAGAATGAATAATGTTAAAGGCCAAGTTTAACTTTTAAATTTTTGCCAAGTATAAACTACACTGTAATCATAACATACCTTTATTCTTAATCTTGTTGGAGTTTCATAATTAAAGTTTACATTAAGATATTGGATATCTTTAGGATAATAACTTGGCGAGTCTCTTTTTAGCAGCACCTCTGTTCCTGTGAACACCTTCTCTGTGTTTATCACTCTATATGCTGAATAATTTCCTGGATAAAAACAATATGGCACATCAACTGGAGCTTGGGAGTCCAGCGGATCAGGAGAGCTGATTGGTTTCTTGCGTGCAGGAGTTGCAATCCAACAGCAACCCCTATATTCACACATCTCCTTTGTGGGAAAATTCTCAGGATGACAGTCGAATTTTAGTTGAGTCTCGACTGAATGACATGCTTTTTCTGGTGGCTTCGGATGAACAGCTGTTATTTTAATATCTCTAAATGGTGTCCTGTATGTCACTGGCTGCTTCACTTTCAGTGTGCTTGAATAGTATGCAGTGTAGGATACATACAAAGTAACCACACCTAAGATGACAAACATCATCAGCACAACACGGACTGTCAGTTTCATTGCTGTCATTGGCTCTGATCCTGAAAACATGCATTGAATATTTGTTTATACATGTACACATCATCTCGACAGTCACTGCCTGATTTTTCCAAAAATATATATTATATATTATGTTCATTAATTATGTGAATATATTACCTATGACTTACTCGATTATCCTGTATGATATCAATTATGATGTGAAAGCATGTGACTAAAATTGCTGAAAATTAGGGATGTCATTTCTGGATATGGGGTCACCTATGGGTAATTATATTGGGCCCTCATCTTAATCGATATATCATTGGATTGCTGAGTTAGCAGATTTTCAGATAATAGTTTAAAAAATCTGCACATTATAACGCCAGAGGATACATAGCATCTATCAAGCTAAACATTTTATAAACATTGGTTTACATGGAATTTCATGGGACATTCATGGGATTTGTGTGATCCTGCAAATACTTGTAGTCCAATTTTGATCAAATTTGCGTGACAATCACCCTAATTGCAGGATGATTGACAGCACTGCAACCTATTAATAGAAGATGTTAATATTGTAACCTTCCAAGTGATAAGTGTAGACATTGTTCCATATTCAAACATTACCATTTTAACAAGAATCTATAAGAGACATAGATATTTTTAAAATAATAGCTCCTTTATCAATATCAAAAAAACTAAATGCTTATTGAATAAACATGAACCCAAAATGGATTGATTTTTGCAATATAATAATTCATTTTTAACTACTGATTATTGATAGTATAAAGAAGATATGATAATCCCATAATAACAAAGCTGTGAATCAAACAAAATAAGGGGAGGGGGAGAAGGCAATTTCTACTAGAAATTAAACATATCTGGAAGATACGCACGACTCTTGAAACGCTAATTGCGATTTTTATCTATCAATTAACGTGTGATGTCATTTGCTTGATTTATTGCCTGAGTGATTGACAGGATATCAATGATTTTGCTGATTTGTTGGTTTATTAATAGATTAATTGATAACTTGCTTGTTTGCTTGATTGGTTGGATGGCTTTATCCCGTTCCCGGACTATGGTCCTGCGAACATCTCAATCTTTTGCCTGTGCGATTACAACATGGGAGAATTTTTTACTGATCTTACACTTCAGATACCTACTTCAATAGATTCCTTGGTAATTTAGCATTCTTTTCGTGTAGTTGAATCCACAATTGTCTGGGTTTATCGGCAGAACGAAGACATTTTCGTTTTTGATCGCAATATTTGCGTGTAACATTTAACTTATTTCAACCGTCAAATTCCTCCATATTGGTACTTCCGGGCTACATCCGGGACAGCCAAACGGGGGATTCCCCTTTTAAATCCAACCGCCATTTTGAAAAGTGATGGAATCTCTCTCGATGAAAAAGAGAAAATGTTCCCGTTCTGCCGATATACCCAGACAATCGGCGGTTCCAATATATTAGAAGTTACATCTTGAGTTCTATAATGCATTGAAGTAGGTATCTTAAGTGTAAGGGGCGTAGATAATTCTCCCAAGTTGTAATCGTACAGGCAAATGAATGCGCTCAGTGCAGGACTATAGTCCGGGAACGGGATAAGGATGGCTGATGTTGAGTTGGGTGGTTGGTTGCTTGAATTGTTCATTGGCACATTATGGTGCATTAAATGAAAAAATCCAGCCCTGCTAGGGACTTTAGATACCTGGTCACTCAGTTACTCTGCCACCCAGTTTTTTAGGCCTACACAAACCGCATCGGCATGTACTTTTTGTATTTCCGATATGTCTATCCAACGATGTAAACTTCATTATTGTTTTGATGACAAGGACATTTTTTATTTGACTTTTCAATTAATGGATATTTACAGCTTGGTCCCCTTCCCTGTGCGTCTTATGGAGTTACTTAGGTTTATGTGATACAAGATTGAACCCCTATTATCACCCACAAATGCAATAAAATACTAATTTCGGTTTCTATTCCTTTAGCTCGTTTTTTACCATGCAATTTAAGCCTTAATGTGTGAAAGTGCTAGTCATATTAAATTGGAAGTTAAATTCTCTATCATTATTGCAAAACTAGCGCCATAAATTACAAAATTTTACCTGATTTTCAAATCCAGAACTTTTTTATTTTCGGATTTGCACTTCCGGTTCCGGTATCAAAAATCTAAAATATTACAACAAGAAAATGCAGCAAACTCCTCGAGTCGAGGTCTCCAAGTCAAAAAAATGCCTGACCCTCTCATATATCTGTTGATTATCCCTGTTTATAACTGATTCAAGAGCGTGGCACTGAACGAACCTCTATGCCTATTTGTTATTTGTTTAGTTGTTGGTTGGGGAACATGTTAATGACGTCACAAATGATGCGAAGAATCTTTAAACCAATCAGTGAAGTCTATATAATTGTTTGTTTAGTTGTTGATGTGGCAATACGTGTCTGACGTCACGGGTGATTGCATCATATTCCAGTCACGCCATTTTACGACATTGCATAATTTTAGCTGATTTTGGCTTCATTTCACTTCATGTAAAAGACTTTTAAAAATATATCAATGAGTCAGTATTTTTTCTCATAAATATTAATATTTGAATTTGAGGTCAAAGTCCGAAAATTTGATCAACTGATTGAAATCCCATTTTAAAGAGGTGAAGAAGTGAATAATTACAGGAGCAAACGTGATCAATGGTTCGAGGTCTCCCGCAAAGTAGTCGCTACGCTCCTACTTCGCGCTGCCTTCGGCAGAGGAGACCTCGAAAAAAATGACTAAATTTCTTTGAAATACAGCGATTTAAAAATGTCAAACGGTAGTGATCCTGTGATATTAGCAACCGCAGGCTATGACCATACCATTAGATTCTGGCAGGCGCACAGTGGAATATGTAAACGAACTGTACAGCATCCAGACTCTGTATCCTTGAAACTGAATGAAAATAAAAATGAGTTGTACAGACTGTACCAGGCCTGTCAACTTGGGAACACCTAACATGAGTGACTTGGAAATGTTGAACACCTCCCCTCAAAATGTGGACACCTTGGTCCAAATCTGAACACCTAAATCCAAATTTTGAACACCTTGGTTTAAATTTTATTACATCTTGCCAAATTTTGAACACCTCAAATTTTTCGCGCTCGCTACGCTCGCGTTTAAAGCATTCAACGGGGGGGGGGAGGGGAGGGGGGGGGGGTGGTTAGGAAAAATTTCGAACGGTATGCGTGACATATACGTGATTCGCGTGAAAAGTCCGAACGAAATGCGTACATTTTTTTCCGTCGTTCATATTTTTGCTGTGTAGACAATCTTTTTTAGAAATTTTTCTACAGAAATATTTTTGCTTGACAATTACCAGGTAAAATGCGTATTTGCGTGACATTTTCTGTCACGCAAAAATAACTGGCGTGACTTCAAATTCTTCAGCAAATGCGTGACAAATACGCAAATTGCGGGACAGTTGACAGGCCTGCTGTATGTGTACAGTAGCTCTACCTGTACTGTAGAGTAATGAGTTCAGCAGTGTCAGATGTTATTAGACTAGATCATAGTGTAGTCTTATTGTTTCATCAATTTATTAGGCTATATTTATAGTGTAATATTTTTAGAAGTGTAGACTACTGTCACTGTCAGTAAGAGTTCTATATGTAGAAAGCTACCTTCCACGTACATGTACACTGTAATTACATGTACATGTAGAGACATATAAAGTTTCTGCTACATGTAAGCGGCCAAGAGATAGAGTACATGTACATAGAGGAATTCTCGGCCATGGGGCATTACTTGACAATTAGACCCTTGGCATCAGGTAAAAATCTGGGGCATTGTTATGTACATGTACTTTACAATATAGGTGGTAGAATATATGTATCACCGTATCGATAAAACAGTGTTTCTTTGAAGTTCCAATAAAGAAATTGCATAAAACAACTAAAGCATATAACAAATTATTGAAGATCGTCCAACAATGTCCCATTTTTGATAGTAGTTCCCTTAATGTTTGCACCCCTTTAATATTTTTCATATATAATTTTCATATTTCTATTGCAGATTAGGGACATGTCCAAATTATCTTGGGTCAAAAAGTTTAGATCAATGCATTAAGTAGAGCCCATGCATGTATGAACATGTAGATCTGTGAGTAACATGGTGCCCTTGGCTGTCAAGAGAAATTCCATGACAATACATATTCAATATTATTTATAATTACATACATTTGTATGTGTTAGTTAATTACTATATGACATTTTCCTTAATGTCACACAGCAAGTGAATGCACTTGATATCACCCCTGATAGGCAACTTATATCAGCAGCAGGTAGGTTACATGTAGCACGACCCAACCACATTGTGGGAATCAGTATTGTCAGGATTTTTGTGAGTCAATCAACCTCAAAAAACAAATCAACCGTGGAAAATACATTTAAGTATAACAGATTACAGTTTTTCTGCGGTAAATATATGGCCTCTTATAACTTAAGGAGTTTCAGGTCATAAACACATCAAAATATAAGAGGTCATCACACATATGATAGCCACACTACCAGGAATCCAAAATATGCAAATATTGTGTATCTAAAATGTTTATGTTTTTTTTCGATATAATCACTGTGATCCCTTCATTGCTTATTTTTCATGTTTAACAGAGGTATTTTTCACTGTGGAATACAAGTCTGTCTCTGTACATGACCAACTCTATGTCCAATCAAAGGCATTATTTTCAAGTTTTCAAAGATTTTGGGTACATCCAGATGTGGTTCAAGCAATTTCACATGTTTTCCCTTTCCTTTCTGCTATTTTGAAACAAGATGGCCATCTTCTTTAGAGTCCATGTACACATATAGTTATACTGTACCTTATATTTTAGGCTATCAGCATATTCGTATGTATGACTTGAACTCTAATAATCCCAATCCATTGATCAACTATGACGGCATATCTAAGAATGTAACTGCAGTTGGCTTCCATGATGAAGGCAAATGGATGTACAGTGGAGGGGAAGACTGCTCTGCAAGAATATGGGATCTCAGGTATGATTTAGAGCATTGGAATGTTTTTTGATATTGGGCCTAAAATGTGTCATATCAGGGGTTTCACTAGAATTCTCACAACAGGCTAAATAAATGAAAACAACAGGTAATTAATGGAAATCATGATTTTAATATGGAAAGTTGAAAACTCCCTCAAGACAACTGTTGATTTTGTGAAAACAACTGATGAAAATTGCCTGTTGCCTGCAGCTACAGTAGTGAATCCACTGCATATAAAATTTGGTAACCCTGAAGTCTAAGACTGTCTGTCAACTGATTATGTGAATAATATTAAGATTTTAGATTTTGAATATTTATATTTTTATACCCCTGTAAGTTAAAATATATCCAAAATTTTAAGATGTTTTATGCTTGTATATTTAGGTCACGCAATCTACAGTGCCAAAGAATATTTCAAGTAAATGCTCCAGTTAACTGTGTCTGCTTACATCCCAACCAGGTACTGTTAAAATGCTTTAGAAATCTCAATATTGCCTAAGGCTAATAATGTTCAGTAGTTATCCAGTGTCACAAATGAAATTAAAAAACTTGAAAATATGATGATGAATGAAAAAGACAAATTAGTCCGAGTCTGTGTTCATAATGCAATGAAAATTATTGATGTATTTCTGCCAAACCACCAAAAAGAAATTAAGGTTATTAAAAAGACGATTGTTTATCAGTATGTAATTGATCATTAATCCATTCAAGTTTCATGGTATGGGAAATCTGAGTGACCTTTTACCAGCCATCATATACATGAGGAAGTACAAATCCCAACATTAGAAAACAGCTCAAACCCATGTGAACCATTTGACCTAGCCAGGTCAGGCCTGTAGCCAGGGGGGGCTCGGACGAGCCCCCCCTGATATCTCCTGAAAAAAATGTGGACCTACCTTTTTGCTTCCTTGAAGAAAAACTTGCTCTTCCCCACATTCACTGGGCAATTAAGATTTTAAAACTGGCATTACTGTGCATTGTTTTTCGAATTTGGGCATTATTTTTCAAAAGTTGGCCCACTTTTTTTCATGGACATATTTGTGCCCCTTTCCCTCATTTTTATGATCGTCCTTTGTTAAACATAGCCCTAGGATGGGCCCGGAAAGAAATGTTGGCCCAAACATATTGTAGGGCCTCTTTAGTGGGCCTTTTTGGGCATTACTTGACCTTTTGGGCCTTATTTTTTCAATTTCAGGCCAAATTTTCAAAAACGGGCTATTAATTTTCAAAATTTTGGCCCCAATTTTGGTTTTAGGGCCCTAAAAAATTTTACGCGCGGCCCTAGGATGGGCCCAGAAAAAAAATGTTGGACCACAAATATTGTAGGGCCTCTTTAGTTGGCCTTTACTTGACTTTTTTGGGCCTTATTTTTTCAATTTTAGGCTAAATTTTCAAAAAACGGGCCATAAATCTTCAAAATATAGGCCCAAATTTTGGTTCTAGGAGAGGGCCCATAGGGTGGGCCCAGAAAAAAATGTTGGCCCAAAATATTGTAGGGGCTTTTTAGTGGGCCTCTTTGGGCATTAATTGACCTTTTGGAGCTTTTTTTTCGATTTAAGGCCAAATTTTCAAAAAACGGGCCATAAATTTTCAGAATTTTCGCCCGAATTTTGGTTTTAGGGCCCTTAACATTTTACGCGCGGCCCTAGGATGGGCCTAAAAAATGTTGGGCCAAAAACATTGTAGGGCCTCTTTAGTTGGCCTTTACTTGACATTTTTACTTGACCTTTTTGGGCCTTCAAGTTTAGGCAAAATTTTCAAAAAACGTGCCATAAATTTTCTAAATTTTGGTTCTAGGGCCCTAAAAGGTTTTCTGTGCGGCCAAAGGATGGGCCCAGAAAAAAATGTTGGCCCAAAAATATTGTAGGGCCTCTTAAATGGGCCATTTTTGGCATAACTTGGCATAACTTGATGTTTTTTGGCCTTATTTTTTCAATTTTAGGCCAAATTTTCAAAGAACAGGCCATGAATTTTCAGAATTTTGGCCAAAATTTTGGTTTTAGGGCCCTAAAATTTTTTCTCTTGACTGGTCCTTATTGGGCATAACTTGACCTTTTTGGGCCTTGTTTTTTCAATGTTAGGCCAAATTTTCAAAAAACGTGCCATAGATTTTCTAATTGTTGGTCCAAATTTTGGTTTTAGGGCCCTAAAAAGTTTTTCAGCGCAAGCGCGGATATTTTTTCATGAATTGAAGTGTGGGTCCCCCCTTCTTAGCTTCCGAATCCGCCACTGTCCTTTACTATACAAAAGGGACTTGGTTTAGCATGGGGCATTTTTTTTGGGAGGGGTTGCGGGGGGTTGCGGGGGGGAGGTTCGAGCCCCCCTTACAAAAAGCTGGCTACGGGCATGCAGGTCAGTCAACAAAGCTTAATAGTTGAAAAATTGTACATGTACGGCATGTAATTCATGACTTTTGACTGAATGTTTTCTACATTTAGGGAGAGTTATTTGTTGGTGACCAAAGTGGTGCTATTCATATATGGGACTTGAAAACAGACCACAATGAACAACTTGTAAGTGACAATGGGATAGAATATTGAAATATAGATTGAATATATTTCTTTATGGTTGTATTCTGTTTGAAAAAGAGTTGAAAAGGTGAACATGTATGTTTGATGTGGTGGAACTTGACCATTGTCCAACTGTATTGTTTGCCTGAAAGTTATATTTCATTTATAATCTCATATGCTTTATCATTGATATCAATTCACATAGCCTATCACATATTTAATGTACTAGTACATTAAATTGTCTCATATCATTTGTTGCCATTTCTAAAAATTCAAAGGTTCATGGAAAAATATAATGAATGATAATGAAAGCGAACTTATGTTCTACAGAGACTTGATACAGTAAGTCATTGATAAAACATTGTTTATTCACTCCATTATGTATTTAATCTCTGGATTTCTTTGTATTCAGATTCCTGAACCTGATGCAGCAATTCAGTCCATTTCCATTGATCCAGAAGGTACATACATGGCTGCTGTCAACAATAAGGTATCTTTTTATTAATTATAATTATCACACTACCCTACCACGTGACCACGATTAAAAGGGAAACAGGGTACAGCTAAGTTACAAATGGAGGACGTGGGTTTAATTCCATATTTCTGAACGTAAAATACATTTTACATTTATTTATAGTGTTCTACCAGACATTGAATTGATTCATCAAGCAGTTTGTAGAATATTGTTGGCAAAAAACCACTATAGCCAAAGATAGATAATAGTGGGCACAGTGAAGCAAAACTCAATGCAATACACGATACATTTCAGTAAATCTATCAACGTACAGGGAGCATATAAGTTTCCCTTTGAAAATGTTACATTGATATGAAACAAAAAACCAAGTGAACTGTTATTTAAACTGCGTGTCATCGTGTTATATGTGGATACGTTTTCCAGTATGTTATTCAACTGTATTTTTGTGAATTAATTGTTTTTCTAAAATCTTAAGATGCAAAAAAATCGTCCCAGAAGCATAACATATTGTGAAACATTTTCCCTCTTGTCACAAAGAGGATAATGTTTGTTTAGAGGTGTCTTGTGATGAGCGTTTCATGATTAAATGCAAAATCACTGGAGCAGATACCATCCAAAAACATCTGACATTCAACACGTCATATAAGACTACAACTCGTCGCGTGAGAATAACTTTGTACTAACTGCCATTTTCAAAAAAATTGAGATAGACATGGAATTTTACTATTTGAAACACAGGCTTTCATCTCAGATACATGCCCCATCTCAATTCCCTCTCATTAAGCTAGAATTCAGTGTGAAATTGTACCATCTCCAGACAAACAGCTTATTTCTAATTTCAAATTGTCATATCTGATATCAACTGTTTCAACCAATCAACTCTCTAAGAATTGGTCATGTGACTTGCAAAACTTGGAGTTATAACAATCTTATATTAAAACGAAGTATGCCAATATGCATGTTATTGTATCTAGAATGAAATAATGTTTTGTAACACAATACCATGCCAGTTTGCATGCCTGGCCTTTCATGTTTTAGTTTTAGAACTATTACAAGTAGATCAAAAAAAAAATGATACAGTATGTTTAATCCCATACATATTCAAATTATATGCCCTCAATTACTCTTTGTATTATGGATGCTCATTGGATTATTCATGGCCACATGATATGAAATAGAATTACTAATTTCCTCGAAAACCTAAATCCTTGCTACCAGCTGAGACTAATATACTCTTATGTTAGTTTCAGCTACCAGGGAAGATGAAAAGTACAAATGACCAGTTAATTAGATCATGTGAGCAGTCAAAAGTACCCTTTATCTTCCCTGCTACCAGGTCTTATAGGGGTTTGAATGGCCAAATGCAATAGAAATGCATATACGAAGCTGTCATCATTAAATGTTGAAAATGAAAGACTACTTATTTGTTTCTTCAAATAGAGTACATAATAATAGGTTATATACTAGATATAGTAATCAAAACAAATAGTAACTGACATATTTTGCACTACATTGCTCAAAGGCAATCACTGTCTGTATACTATTGAAATCTCTTTCAAAATGATGTTTTATAGTTTGTGGAAAAAAGCTAAATCTATTTAAACTAGCTTTAACTTTTACTGACCATACACTACTAGTATATCAATAAGGAGTTATCTTTATGTTAGTATAGTCCCTTAAAACACTTATTTTATTTTATTTTCATCTATGATTTACTTTGCACTTTTCACTGAACATCTGGGATCTTTTTAGTTATTTTATTACTAGTATGTTTTTCAGATTTGTCCTTTCTTTTGCATTTTTAGGATCATTGTTTTTAGATCATCTACATTTTATTTTGGAAAAGTAACAAATTGGTTCAATTTCTTTACAAAGAGCCACTCTTAGTCTCCATTTCTACAATTGCTTCAATTCCCAATTGTACTCCACAGAGTAGCAAACAACAGAAAATGAATGGATAATGATAGCTGCATCCCAATGAACAAAATGTGATTAGCTAAATCGAGGTCTCATCACTTTCATTAATCTAAAATGAATTAGAAATTATTTTTCTATTTTCAAATTTCTTCCATGTGCATGTAATAAAAGTTGGTTATGTCTTAGGCCCTAAAAATCTGAAACCTGCTGGTCAAAATGGAATTACGGACCAGTTGCAATGTTATTCTCCTATACCCAGTGAAAAAATCAACTGGTCTGTATCAAAAATAACCTGATAATGACCAGCGGACCGGCCCTTAGGGGCTACATTGTAATGTGCTGGGAGGTTTAGGCAACAGGGTTTATACCGAGGGAAATATGTGGGGGACCGTACTGGCATCATTGGTTTCAATGCATTGTATTTCTGCCTTAGTTTCAAAGGCAATAAATTCTTTTTGAAGGGTGTCCTGAGATTCCAAAATTAAGAAATAATTGTACTTATTTGAGAAATTGATTTTAAAGTTTTATAAATTGAATTTTCTTTATTTTATTAAATAATATTCTTTGGTTTTTGAAGATTTTTTTACAAAGCAAAACATTATTTTTCATTCTAGATACAATAACATGCATATTGGCATACTTTGTTTTAATATAAGATTGTTATAACTCCAAGTTTTGCAAGTCACATGAACAATTCTTAGAGAGTTGATTGGTTGAAACAGTTGATATCAGATATGACAATTTGAAATTAGAAATAAGCTGTTATTCCGGTGGGAAATTGTATCAACTCCATTTCCATAGTTTTAAAAAAGGATCTTGTAAATTGTTTCAAGGTATGATATTTCATATAAGATATCTCTAGGGTGAGACCAGGTGACATACAAAAAATCAAGTTTCACATAGCAATACTAAGTAAGATACAGACCTCTAAACTTTCAAACCTTGATTTCTCAGTTCCGTAAAAATGTGAGATAGTACAAAGTTATTCTCATGCGACGAACTGGTATTAGTTTTTTACAATAATAGAGCTAGAGACATACGACGTCATATCAGCGCTACAGGAAATCGTGAAGAACAAAATGCTCTCAAGTCGTGGCATGATGGTATTTTGAACAAAATATTTTAAATGATCGCTTTTTGAGGACGGTAGTGAATTAGACCATTCAAGGGGTTATATAGAAAGATTCTTTACATGCAGTTCAGGCAATCTAAGTATTCTGAATAGCGGATAGTCATTAATCCTGATAGCGGATAGTCATTTATCATTAACGTGTTCATATTTAATTTCGTTATTTCATTTCAATTTGATACCCTAGTAACACGTACAATCTAGCGTTCTTGTTAATTTAATGACTAAAATGCATATACGACCTGAAAGCCCGTGTCTAAATCTACAAAATAATGTTTACTTTATTTGGATTAAATAACAATTGATGACATCTCTAAGCATCAACAGGCGGCCTTTTAGCATTATTTTCACTGTTTGCAACGTAAATGTACATGAGATCGGGACATAGTATGTCTGTATAATCAGCTTACTTTCTCGCTCCCTGTACTATTGAACAATTTACATTCCTTGTACCCTGTATTGATCAACTTTTGCAACTGTGTACCGTGTACTATGACATATCAAATATTTTAAAATTTAAAACGATATTATTTACATTCTTTCTTCAACTATCATATAAATTCGCGCATGCGCTATCGAGGTAGGGTAGTGTGATTATGATCAAATATTTATTCTGTTTTATATACAGTAAAACATGTCTTAGTGAACACCTATCTCTCTCTAGTGAATACCTGTCTCTATTAGACAAAATTTCCTCTGTATATACTCTACTGACTTCTGTATAAATTGCCCTCTCTGTAGTGAACACCTACCAACACTCAATGTTTTACTCAAAAATAACGCAAAAATATGATCAATATACAGTACAAAGGTTTTACTGTACATTCATTTTTTGCAAGTGAAGCCAAAAATGTAATTATTTATACATATCATTCAAATCAAAATTCAAATAGTGTATGGCCTGGATCAGTACTAGCTGGCTGTGGGCCTTTTTAGTCTTTTCGTTTAATTGATTAACAAAATCATCAATATAACTACAATAACATGGGCCTCTGTAGCAACGCTAATGTCACGCCTTATAGAATTATATAAGGCATATATTGCTTTTAGGGTAACTGTTATATCTGGACATTGACCGGAGGCAGGGGCGATGAGTCCACCCAACTGCACCCCAAATCTAAGATACAGGCCCACCAGAAATATGTACTCAAATGTCTCTTCAGTCCAGATTCTACGTAAGTAAACAATTAAACATACCATAGTTTCCATTCATTAGAATTTGTTCTAAATACCTGCTCAAAATATTGGAATTTTTTATGTCATCACTTTTTCGTGACGGGGGTTGGCAATCTGCGGTTTGTGGTTGGCAGCATTTTGCATTTTAATGCCTTGTTTAATATTTATTCTCAACTTTAATTCAAAATTTTCTCTTTTGTTTGGAAATGAAATGTGTCACAAAATTATACTGGCACTAATAGCATTAAACTCATGATATTTGTTTCATTATGCTTGCAGTTTGCTGGCCACAACATCAGCAGATGGAACTGTGAGGATATGGCGCACTGCAGATTTCTCTCTCATGACCGAACTTAAGGATAACCATCAACGTTGGGTGTGGGACTGTGACTTCAGTAGTGACTCTCAGTACATCATCACTGGTATGTTCTTCTTCAACTTTGAAATTAAAGGGCTTCTTGTTACTCAAATGGAGTATTGGTTATGGATAGATATGAAAGACATGGGTGATTTGAAATAAAAATGAATACCAAACCAGTCCATTATCACAAATTCACAAGCTATGTATACCATACCATGACAAAGCAGCAGACATACATTCTAGCAGCAAAATATAAACTTTTCCAACATTTATAGAATAAAGAAATTGAATCTTTGAAGTTTTGTCTACAGCCAAAACATATAAAACAAGGAATGAATATTAAAAGGCTGCAAAAGTTACAAAACAAGTTTAACAGATATTCCATCCTTACATTGTCATCCAATAGCTGCTTTTATCCAGATTGTGATTTTGTTGCAGCTTCGTCAGACAACATGGCGCGGCTCTGGAACGTTGAGTCAGGTGAAGTTAAGAGAGAATACAGTGGCCACCAGAAGGCTGTCATATGTTTGGCATTTAGAGATGACGTTCGAGAATAAATTATAGGGAAGTTAAGCACATTGTGGGTCTCTGGAACATTGAATCAGGTGAAGTTAAAAGAGAATACAATGGCCACCAAAAGGCTGTCATATGTTGGGTATTTAGAGATGATGTTCGAGAATAATTTATATGGAAGTTAAGCACATTGTGGGTCTCTGGAACATTGAATCAGGTGAAGTTAAAAGAGAATACAATGGCCACCAAAAGGCTGTCATATGCTTGGCATTTAGAGATGAGGTTCGAGAATAAATTATATATGGAAGTTAAGCTACATGTTTCAAAGAGAACATGACATGAATGTATGTGTAGAATTATGGTCCTCTGGGGATTAATTCTCCCTTTGTACTTGTAACTGTTTACTTGCAATTGTCTGATTGAGTGTAAGTAAAATAGTTGTTATTTGATTCTTGGTCCTGGAAAGAACAATTGAGAGGGGAATAGTAATCCCTGGGGGTCATAAATATAATTACACATTCATGCATGTCCCTTAGGAATTGTGTGGTTTAACCCTCTTAGAAGCATGAGGTGCTATTATTATATGGACCGAATTGTTCAAGAATGACATACTAATGAAAGATGACATGAATTGAGTTGATAGGGACTGAACTCGGCATGTACTGATTGGTCAAGAACGATATCATAGGGTGAAATATATTATGAAATTAGGGGCTGAAATGTTCCCATGTATCATAACATGGTATAGCACTGGAATTAATTTAGATTAACTCATGCATATGAAACACTCTGACCAACTGATCATTATTTTTTTAATTAAAAATGACCGAGAAAATAAAGTTATATCATAGAGGAGCATGTTCCACCAGATTTAAAATACAAAGTCAATTTTCTGGTCCTTTTCTATCCTATACAGGTGTCAGAGAACTATGATTGAACAACCATGAAGATGTATTGTAACTCGTCATGTAGATGGAGCCTGTGGGAATATTAGGTGCGTCAGCAATGAGCTTTTGGTGCAGAAATAATAAATCATTTTTTAATTTAATTTATAAAATATGTTACATTTCTGAAATAGCGACACAGGATGCATTTAACTTTTCCTTACCTACAGTTCGAAATTGTTATTTTTTATACAGCGTCCCAAGCAAATATCACAAATTTAAATTCAAAAATGACTTTTACCTCTGCACCAAACTCTCATTCCTGCCACACCAAATATTTCCCATAGGCTCTGTCTGCATAGGGTGTGTAATGGAATGGTGAACTTGTTGCCACACCAAATATTTCTATATGCTCCATCTACATAGGGTGTGTAATGGGATGGTGAACTTGTTGCCACACCAAATATTTCCCATAGGCTCCGTCTGCATAGGGTGTGTAATGGGATGGTGAACTGGTTGCCACACCAAATATTTCCCATAGGCTCCGTCTGCATAGGGTGTGTAATGGGATGGTGAACTTGTTGCCACACCAAATATTTCCCATAGGCTCCGTCTGCATAGGGTGTGTAATGGGATGGTGAACTTGTTGCCACACCAAATATTTCCCATAGGCTCCATCTGCATAGGGTGTGTAATGGGATGGTGAACTTGTTCAATTTCTGTGAAGAAGATAAGTACATGTACTTCGTCTCCATTGAATAACAGTCAGCCAGGCAGTTTTATTAATGAATTCAAGCTCTGTATAATATACATGTAGCAACCTGATGTAAATGTACATGTAAATATAAATGTATTAAACTTGTAAATAAAATCAGACAAATAAAGTGTACAATATATTGTATATTTTTATTATATTTTTGGCAATAATTTATTTACATTTTTCGGGAAGTTACAAAAGCTAGTGTTATTTTACTGAAATTTAAGATTTGATGTTCTCAAGAAAATAACACATGTCATTGGGTTAAGAATATCTGACGTGCTTCCTAATTTTTCAGTAAAACCATGCTAGCTTCTGAAGTACATCAAATTAAATCTAATATAAATGTATTTTTAATTTACTAAAAGCATAAATCTTGGATAACATATTTAATTTATAACAATGATTCTAATATGATATGCATGTGACAATAACATAATTGATTTACTGGTCAATAAACAAGTACATACGACCTCCAAATTTCATGAATGTAAACAGTTTCTGGCTTGTTTATCATATTAGAATCGTAACAATTTAAAGACCTCGATTCTATGATTTATGGTAAATATAATCAAATATGACGTGATTTTTTTTTTATTCTAGCCATTACCAAAGAGCTTAATCACTACTCAACAATGAATTATCCTGTCATCATATATTGCGCCATGAATCATAGAATCTCGATCTTTATTCTTTAAGTAATTTGAGATCATTATACAACAATATTCCCACAAATTATAGAGGATTAAAAAACATTCAATGAATAGACCATGGGATATTAATTTGAAAAAACAAGAGGTTTGAACTAGATACAAGGCAACATTCAGGTTAATATATTATACACAAGCCATTAACATGCAAAATGTCACCATGCCGAATGTCAAACACCAACAACCAAATGCTAAACACTAACAACCGAACACAGTCCACAATAAAGTTGGATACTATAACAATATGTCGTCACTTTTGTTGGTGACATGAAAATAGGAAATGTTTAAAACACATCTGTTGACAGAAAATAACTTCTCTTCAAATAAAATGGGCTTCACTTTGAAAGTACTATCAATAAATGGACCATGGGAAATATAACAAGTGGGTCTAATAACTAGAAAATCTAGAATACATCAACAAATTTAAATCACAAATCTGGTGAAATACAGATCAATATCACAGTGAATTAAAAAATATAACAATTTGGTGGAATTTTGACACTTATTGACTATCATTAACAATAAGTCTCTTGAGTATCCAATTTCATCCACTAATGTATGTACATATATTGTATATTGATTTAAGGTAGGTCTACATCCTCCTGTTTACGACTAACATCAGTATGGAAGCCATGTAATTGCACATGGTCAAGTAAAATAATCATTCTACTTGGTCTACCTTGATTGTGTAAGTAGACTACCAGGTCCATAGCCAACTTTTACCTAGGTGGGTTCACTTTTCAAAAAAATCCAAGGGGATTCACATTTGACAACCTTGGCCCAAAATTACTTGAAAGTGCTTAATTAAATAAGGTGAAAAACTGCATGGTTTTGAAAGAATTTTGGCAGGGAGGATTTGCTCGAATTCCCCTTGCTATGGGCCTGACTCCCCTCATATTATGCAACTTACTAAAATATATTCAAATATACCAAGTGTGTCTCAACCAACCAGAATGAAATGTATGAATGCTGTGCATTTACAAAGATTAATCATTGCACAGTTTTCAGTGCATTGAGATAGTTATACAGTGTATTTGAATTGCAGTATACATATATGTATAGTTCTATAGCCTGTAGTGTAGCCTAAATGAGAGAGACAAAGCTTTTTTAAGAGAGATGTTCTAATAATGAAGTTAATTCAATTGTGCATTATCTCATCACGAAAGAGGTATCATTATGCTCTTCTATTGCCAGTTGCCACCATCAACTAAGTTCATACTTAAATGTTGTTTTATCTTGGCTAACTTTACGTTCATATTTCAGACAAATAATTTGCGTTATTCATATTTCTGACATATCTTGGAATTTTACACCTTGTTGCTTTTTTTTATAATACATTTTTTGCCTTGTCGCTTTTTCTTTCTGGCTATGCCACTGATAGCCTGTTCAAAATATAAAGTACATGGATTTAGTAATTGCAAAATTACTTTTTTGCTTTATCTGAAGGCGTTAGTCCAAAGACTCATCCTTTCAATTTCCTCCAATAAGGTTCCTTCATTTTACTTCATAATTTAGTCTAATACTCGGGTAATAATGATTTTTTTATGGAATTTAAATACAATGTATACAGTTAAAGGAAATATACACATAGGTTCATATATCATAGATGCTTGTTCTTTCATTTATCCAAAGATGGCCCCACAGTTTGGACATCTCCGTTGTCGCATGGCCAAACAACATAGCAACCCAATAGGGAAGAAGAATATTGCACAGCACACTCCAAGACATGTATAGTCATCTTCCAACACCCCAACCTGAAATAGGTGGAATGTAATATACATGTTAACAAAATCTGGTCAAACAAGGCATTAAAGTGCAAAATATCACCACCTGCCATTTGTTACAGATACTGAACACAGCCAGCTGCACTGTCCACAAAGAAATTGGAGACTAAAACACTATGTCACCACTTGTGGTGACATAAATATAACCAGGTTTGAAATAACACTAAGAGCAAACAATATGATGTACAAGTTGACCTATTAGATACTTCTGACAATCATAACACTGATTCCACTTAATTTCCTCAGGTCAAAGGAAATATATTGTTGAGGTTATATACAGGTTGATTGTAAATTAAAAGATAATTTTAGTAAATTGTCCACATTCCTCTCAATAATTTCTTTCCATTATGCAGTCAATCTTTACTTTGCAATCATTCCTACTTAACCGTAACAATCATTCCTACTCTGCCTCTTTCAACTCATTAAATACAATAAATTCTTATTATTCTCATTCTTACTTAATTCATCATTCAGATTTACTATTATTTATACTTACCTGATTTACTCACTATGCAATCATTCCAATTCATTCAGCAATCATTCACATTTCACAACCATCTTGAAATCATTCCTGCTTATATACCTCCAATCATTCTCATTCATACCGCAATCATTCATATTAACCAATTGCAATCATCCATATCCATTCTGCAATCATTCCTACTCATCCCATAATCATTCATATTTACCAATTGCAATCATCCATATCCATCCTGCAATCAACACTATTCATTTTTAAATCATACTTGCTCATCTACCATAATTCCTACTCACCCTACAAGCAGGGCATCCTCCTACCACCACTACATTAGTATATGTTGGCTGTGGTTGACCATGGATCACAGTGGTGGTCTGCTGATATGTTTGACCCATTGGTGGGTAATTTCCTTGGCTGGGATAGACAGGGGCCTCCTGAGGTGGGTAGCCCCCCTGATATGGCATGGAACCAGCTGGTGGTTGTGTTTGGTAGCCTCCTTCACCTGAAATATCATTTCATTTGGGTACATGTATTATCATGTTCATCTGTTTTATAAAATCAATTTTCAGAATATGTTTCAATACAGCAATTCACAATTTTGAGTTCTTCTCCTGAGGTGAAGAAGGTTTTAAAAATTTTTATATCCTCAGCAACCTTGACATTTTACTTTGAATTTTCAGTTCATTAAATCAGCAATAGGGAGTTTTAGAAGCTTGCAATGTATTTCACAACCTAAACGTGAGCGATACATTTGTATGGGCGATTGGTCATACATATAGGTTTGCGTTTCGATTTATATGCAAGCTTTAACTCCCTAATATCTCATGTTACCCAGATTTGTCTACTTGTATTTGAGTTACTGCACATATAGAAATAAAAATGGTCTGACATATTCACTATATCCCTATCATACAGTGAAACCTGTATATCTGAACAGCTCTCTTATCCGAACACCTCTCAATGTGAACACTTTTTCCTGGTCTCATATTTGTCTCATATTTCCATTGATTTACATGTTTATAGACCTTGAAATATGAACACCTGCTAATCTGAACATGTATGTAGACTGGTCGCAGGTATTTGGAGGTTTTACATTACTTTCTTCATCAGGATAAGTTTACAATTTTCATTTATTCTTTGCATTCTTATCCTGATCAGACATTCTTTCATCTTTAATGATCTTGTTCTATATTTATAAACAGGTAAAATATTTTCGCATAAAGTTTAAAGTACAGTGTACCTGCTTTCTGTTCTGGTTGAGAGTGTTGCGCTCCATACCCTCCAGCTACATCAGTATACTCTGGCGGCTTCTCCGGCAACAACCTTTCATTAGACATGCTCACTGGCTAAGAATTCAAAGTCTTTTGTAGATGTCTGCACAGCTGTTCAATAAAACCTGAAAAAGTTATTGGGCATGGTTACATGCATGAACTAGATTCAGGAATTAACTTATGGCATATTTTGAATAATTGAAGCCCCACTGAACAATCTAATCTACATTGTATTAACTACATCTGGAAAAATCAGAGTGTATGTGGTACGGGGACCAGGAGATAATTTTGTGCATTTACTAAGTAATGTATCAGATGCTGGCACAGTTTTGCCGGAAGTTTGCAAGAAGTAACTTTTGGCAATGCAGTATGTTAGAGTAACCTAGTAGGTGTAAGAAAATATAAGGTGATGGCCTTTAAAATGGTAAAAACAATTTTCACGGCCGAATTGGACTTCAATTCCTGCGATTTCAGGGGATACTATAAGACTATTTCATAACATAAAGGATATAGTTGCTATTGTTCTGCTTTCTACAGCACACATTACTAGTCCAAAGATGAATAATATCCTAAAGTTATAGGCCGATATCTGTATTAGTCTCAGAAATATTGCAATTAATAGGAAAAAAATACGCAATTTTAGTCATTTTTAAGTCTCACGTATCTTATATTTGTAGCTTCCAGCAAAAGATGGCAGCTTGAATAGCTCAAAATTGTTTTCTAAAAACTAATTCAAGCTTTGTTTGATATTGTAATACAAATTAATAATGATAATGAACTATTTATGATTTTTAATATGACTTTATAGTACCCTACCCCTGGAAAGTGGGCGTGGTCAATTTTATCATTTTGCAGCATACAATTAAAAACTTGTATTGATAGAAAGCAAATCAATGCATATAAAACATCTTCACTTGTTACTTCACAATGTAATTCATTTATTATTAAAATATAGGACTCTACATATTTTATATATACAATTTCAATTTTGTACAATGTATCATAATGAAATCTAATAGACTGTTTCAATTTACAAACTTTTTCTCGGATCACCCTTACCTTTTGACAAAATGATCTACTATATGACCAAGCCACAAAAAATAGCAGAACTGATCAACGTTTAAACCCCCCCCCCTTACCCCTATGTTTGTTTTGTATGGGGTCCGCCACAATGCAACAAGTCCATTTTCAGTGCTTACTATCACATGGAATATAAGTCACAATGTTTCCACAATATCTGGGCAATGAGATAGTGCCATTAAGAATATGTATGCCCAGATTGAAGATCATGGTGTAAATGCTTGCCGATCTATCGGCTTTCAAAAATGAGGAAAGCTGTCTTGAGTGCCGTTTCAACTAATTTTGAATTAAAAGTGCTACTTATGAATTTTTTTCTCAACAACTGTGATTTGGTTAGAGTCCAAACACAGGATATCAAGACATAGTGCTACCAAATTCTGGTATTGAAAATTTCAGAGCTCTAGATCAAGTATTCATATCTGCATGGACTCTTAAAAAAAACCAAAAGACACAAAATGCAGTCAGATATCGCGAAAAAATGTGACAAAATGCACTATTCAGAACAATTTATCTCTTAAATTTTACTTTTATTTACCCATAATTTCTGATTCTGCCTCTACTTAGTAATACCAATAATACATATGAGTAGACTTAAGGTCATAGTAAGTGTAGTTACAGATTTATTAGCATCTAAAAATGGGAGAAGCAGTGTAGCAAGTGCAATTTTCACCTATAATTCATAATATTAAACTGCAGCTTTCAGGATTTTCTTCTCTAAAACAAGAATTCCGTGAGACCCCAAAAGACAGGATTCCATATCACTGTACCACCAAATATATATAAGAGTAGTTTCAGGAGGTTATATCAAATAATCATTGAACCATTGACACCTAAAAATATGCAAAATACAGTCAGAAATGGGGAAATTGTGATTGTGAAAAAATGTATGTATTCTTAACAATTTTTTAACTAAACTGTATTTTATTTAGAACTGAAACTTGAAGTGCTTACTAGGAGTTACATCTAGTTATTATTTATTAAGTGACTTCAGCATCCGGATTGATATAATATAGGAATATCCTATGGTTTTGAAAAAATATCATTTATATCCATGAGTGGATATTGATATTTTCATGAGTGAGCGCAGCGAGTGAGTGAAAATATTTGTATCCATGAGTGGATATAATTGATATTTTTGAAAAAAAAAATTTATCCCATGGGAAATCATCATCAGCGAAAAAATGTGAAAAATATAATTCGAGAAAAAATTTGAAAAAATAATTGAAAAAAAATTGTGAAAAAATGTTGAAATTTTTTTTAAATATTTTTGAAAATAATTAAAAAATGTAAAAAGAAATTTTTTTTTGAAAAAATTCGAAACCATGGGATATCACTTTTCAAACCACCGAATATCACTTTTTAAGACGTGATATTCGATAGTTTAAAAGTGATATTCGATGGTTTGTGAATTTTTTGCTAAAATAATATAACTTGATCCACATATCAAATATATCTTCATGTGATATTCGATCTATATCCTTGCAACCATGGGATTATCACTGTTATTCCATAGTTAGCATGATATTCATAGGATAACATGTGAAAATAAAAACGGTATTTTTGTAATCAGTGGTAAAATATGATATTTTTGACAAATTTTCACTTAACCATAGCATACGGTTTTTTAGCCATGACATACGGCGCCGTATGCGATGGTTTATGGATTTTTGCTACTTCAGACTCAAAACGAGGCTAAGTGTCATTATCACTCATGGATATTGATATCTGCACTCTCTCGCTACGCTCGCTCGTGCAGATGATCATATCCATTCGTGGATAAAAATCATATCACTCATAAATCATAGGATATCCTATATATATATGCTTAAGACCAAAAAACCTATAAAGAATGTTATTATTGAATACTGAGAATACATTGTTTTTACATTACGGAGCTTTATTTCTACCTGAAAGCATTTTGGAACATATCTCTTGCTTAAATATTTCATGCAAGGCTTTGTATAAAATCCTCCTACCCACGTACCCTCGTACCCACGTACGTGGGTCCTGACCCAGTCTTTAAAGAGTTAAATTTTTAAATGTTTAAAACATTATTCAATCTCAATGTATGCTTAATTATGGATGAATTTATGTACCCATATGCCTTTATTTCTAGATCGGACATCTGTCTCGTCATAAAATAAAGCCGGCATTGCATAATGTTCATTTGAGCTATTTGAGTGTTGTTTTTGATATATCGAAGCGATTTTTTGTTGATCGGGCAGTCTTACAGTGTACAACCAATCTATTGCTTGGCGCAAATTCGACCAAGCACATATATTTAGTATTTTTGTCAGTCATACTTTTAATAGTCCTATACCTTTTAATTTACCATAATGTATATAGAATTTTGTATACTAGTAAATGAAGTGTAATTATATCTATGACAATCTAAATAACGTTACAAAGATCGATGCGCAGATCCACGTTTTATTGAGTTTGAATCTCACGCGTCATGCACGTGTAGTAAAAGCTCATGCAGATCTGCCGTTCAAGTAGCACTGTCCGTCGTGTCCGACTGTTGCCTTCTTGTGTTCACACTTGAAAAGTTGCAAAGTTGCAAGAAAAGGGTTTGGAAACATTTACTTTCTCTCATTTCTTACATTTGTACTCCAGTCAGGAGAATGCAAATCGAAATTACTTGCACCGCAATGGAAGCCTAATAGACGAATGCAACAAAATTAGGTAAATAACATGAATAATCTAATAACGAAATATTTGAAAAGTAGAAGGATTCGCTATATTCGTTTTTAATCGCTTTTTGGCACAATTTAAGGATAATTGTGCGCACTAGTTCAGTGAATCATTTAGATGGAATTAAAAGTTAGAGTTGCCAAACTTATGCAGGGGAGTGTAAGTTTGGTTTTGTAAACTTCGACATTATTCATGGCCGTTTGATCCATAATTAGGTAATATGAAGAGTAGAGTTTTATTTTGACAATGATTTGATGTAAAACTGGTTTGAATGATAAAAGTTCAGCTTTGTAGTTTCTAGCTTTTTGCGCGTAAAACGTGAATACAATGGACAACAACGGCACCAAATCTTTGACTAACATACGCTAATAACGTATAATATTCGTAAGAATGAATTCTAATAACATTTGAAATAAACATCTAATAAAATGTGGTGAATTTAATTGGTTGGAAACTCTAAGAAATATATTTTTAAAAAGATGTCAACTTTTGGACAAGGGTAAACTTCCCGGGACATTTACAATCTGCATGAGGTAACAGGAGGCACGGATTGCACTGAACGAAGGCTAGGAGATTGCTAATCAGCACTGATGTGTTATACAGGTAAGACTGCCCGATCAACATATCAAAAACATAAATCAAATAGCTCAAAAATAATGAACATTTATGCAATTCCGGCTTTATTTTATTTTACTAGAGAGATGTCAGACCTATAAATAAAGGCATATGGATGCATAAATTCATCTATAATTCAGGATAAACTGAGATTGAATGATGTTTTAAACATTTAAAAATTTAACTCTTTAAAGACTGGGTCAGGACCCACGTACGTGGGTACGAGGGTACGTGGGTAGAAGGTTTTTTATACAAAGCCTTCATGCAATGTTACTTTCAAAAACTTTCTTAGAACAATTAGTCCATCCTATACTTTCACATGTTATTCTCCATTTCGTTTTTAAAAATTGTGGGAGCTTTAAACTCTAGAAGAGCTTAATTACCAATTATACCATGCACCCTCTTTGCCCTCCGTCGCATTTTTCTTAGAATGGCCAGGCATATTTCAAATTGAAGAGTAAAGTCAGTTAAAGTGATATATAGCTGTATATAACAACTTTCACTTGATACTGTGATGTCAAACAGTGTATTTTGTCCCAAGATACAATAAAGTACTGATTTCATTTATTTATCAATTCAGATGCCTTGGAATTAAAGTAAACACTTGGTATATATTACCAATATTATTTTTATTTTACCTATTATTGGTGGTACAATGACCAGGTTTCCTTTAATGTCTTTGGTCTTACTGTGCAGTTTGTAAAAAGAAAATTCAGAAAGTTGCAATCTTAGATGAAAAACTGGTGAAAATCATACTTGCTACAGCTTTTCCCATTTTCAGAAGCCAATAGATCTGTACTTCCACATACTATGACGTTAAGTCTTCTCATATGTATTTTTGGTGGTACTAACTGGAGGCAGAATCAGAAATTATGTCAAATAAAAGTAACATTTAAGAGATAAATTGTTCTGAATAGTGCATCTTTCATATTTTTCACGATATCTGACAGGTTTTTTGTCCTTTTGCCTCTTTTTAAAAGTACATGCAGAAGTGAATATTTGATCTAGAGCTCTGAAACTTCCAATATCAGAACTTGGTAGCATTATGTCTTGGTATCTTATGTTTGGGGTCTAAAAAAGTCGCAGATGTTGAGAAAAATATTCATTAAGCAGCAGTTTCAGTTCAAAGTTAGTTAAAACTACACTCACGACAGCTTTCTCTATTTTTGAACGCCGATAGATCGGTAAGTATTAGTATTAGTACCTTGAAACTGCTCATATTATGTAGTCTTTGTGGTACTTTCTCATTGCAAAGGTAATTTGGAAACACTGTGACTTACATTTCATGCGTTACTGAACACTGAAAATGAACCAGCCTATTAGATTTCATCATGATACATTGTACAAAATTGAAAACGTATATATAAAATATGTAGAGTCCTATATTTTAGTAATGAATGAATTACAATGTCAAGTAACAAGTGAAAATGTTAAAAATGCATTGATTTGCTTTCTATCAATATAAGTTTTTAATTGTATGCTGCAAAATGATAACATTGACCACGCCCACTTTCCAGGGGTAGGGTACTATAAAGTCATATTAAAAATCATAAATAGTACATTATCATTATTATAATTGTATTACAAGATCAAACAAAGCTTGAATTAGTTTTTAGAAAACAATTTTGAGCTATTTAAGCTGCCATCTTTTGCTGGAAGCTACAAATATAAGATACGTGAGACTTAAAAATGACTAAAATTGCGTATTTTTTCCTATTAATTGCAATATTTCTGAGACTAATACAGATATCGGCCTATAACTTTAGGATATTATTCATCTTTGGACTAGCAATGTGTGCTGTAGAAAGCAGAACAATAGCAACTAGACTATATCCTTTATGTTATGAAATAGTCTTATAGTACCCCCTGAAATCGCAGGAATTGAAGTCCAATTCGGCCGTGAAAATTGTTTTTACCACTTTAAAGGCCATCACCTTATATTTTCTTACACCTACTGGGTTACTCTAACACACTGCATTGCCAAAAGTTACTTCTTGCAAACTTCCGGCAAAACTGTGCCAGCATCTGATACATAATACTGATCCTACTTCAAAAGAATCTGGAAGAATGTGAATTACGGGGACCAGGAGATAATTTTGTGCAAACTAAGTAATACTGATCCTACTTCAAAAGAATCTGGAAGAATGTGAAGAAAACTAAAAAAATTCAACTTTTTCCAACTCAAGTGAGACAAGCAAACAGACTATGTGACATGATTTAAATTGTATATAATGTAAATAAAGTATTAAACTTATGTTATAAAGATACAAAATACTCATCCAAAGTCATAAATTGTATTAAAAACTAAGGAAATGTAAGATTTCAAAATTCATCACCTGACAATATTTTGATGGGATGTATGTCAAACTAATAGATGAATCGATGTAATTATAATATGGGTAAAATTGTAATTTTAAGTAAAAAAAATCAGCACTTTTCAAATGATATATATAATTTATATAAATTTGATATTTTAAAAATACATGCTGGACAGTAGACATGTGCAACTATTCAATAGATTTTAATATATTTCAGTATACTTATAGTTTGACATATAGTGAAAACTTGACAGTCACGTGACTGTCATATGATCAAGCCAAGATGGAGGACGGAAGCAAAACAATGTTTTGTGCTTTTGTTTTTGTTTTTATTACCATAACGGCGTGCAGTGCTGCTAAATATGATCCGACTTGGGCGTCTTTAGATGCCCGTCCTTTACCTACTTGGTACGACGAGGCAAAATTTGGTATTTTCATCCACTGGGGTGTGTTTTCGGTTCCAAGTTTCGGCTCAGAATGGTTTTGGTGGAATTGGCAGGGAGCAAAGAGTCAGGCATATATCGATTTCATGAAAAAGAATTATCCACCAAACTTCACATATGCAGACTTTGCTCCCAAGTTTACAGCTGAATTTTATGACCCAAATCAATGGGCAGACATCTTCAAAGCATCAGGAGCTCAGTGAGTATGCATGTATTTTCTTAGTCATATAAATCTGACCCTCGTATGATGTTATTTGTTGTTATTTTTTCTGATTTGGATATTTATTTTTTCTTATTTTCTTGCATACGAGACCGTGTATGCAAAGAAAATGATAAAAAATAAATATCCAAATAAGAACAAGGAATATCGAAGAACAGCATACAATGGTCGGATTTATATGACTAGTATTTTCTCAGCCAGTCTTACTGTACAATGTACAATGTACTGTATAAGACTTACTCGAGTCTCTAGCCAAATTACTTGTCTAGAAAATGGCATGTGGACCACTGTGCACTGGCTAGAGACTCGAGTAATATAAGACAAGTCTTACACTGTACATGTAGGTGCATTAATGCGCCTCTGCAGTTTATTTATATATCTGAGCTCAGTCTTAGCCTTATGTAGAAAACTTGTGCTGCAGTGCATCAGCCGATCCCAGTGTTCCCCCTGCACTGCGTGAAAAATGGAATTTCTAGACTAAGCACGTCTAGAAACTAAGTCTAAGCACGCCGGGTGCTTAGGCGTGACTAGTTTTGACACGTCTAGGTACGCGATGAAACCAACTCTAGACATCTCTAGGCACGTCTAAGCACACGCAGTGCAAAGACGTGCTTAGAGTGTGACAAAAAGTCTTGGCACGCCTTGAGACTAATGATTGAAATCTAGAATAAAGTAATTATCGAATCAGATGAATGTATATTGTTATAAGCAATTATGATCAACATTCATAATTTAGACATATTTTCACTGAAATATACTGATTTCTTTTTACCTTTTATCTATTTTATTTATTATTTTGTAAAACAAACTGTTCACGTATACCATGACGTTTTACATATATGATTGAATAATAAATCACGTACTGTTTAAAGGTTGTAAAATACCAAACAAGCTGTACTGATAACTAGTAAAAATATTTTTTCCCGGGCATCTATCAAGTTGTTACATCAAGCCCCGGGTATCAAGCAAGATACAAGAATAGTATTATTATTGTGCGTCTGACCAAATGGATGAAAAAACTATGTGTTCATATTGTGTATGCAATGTATCATTACTAATTGATATAGGGCAGGGGCGAAGCCAGCTTTCATTCAGGATGGGGGTGCGATCGCCAAAAGCTTTTCGGTTTTCAGTCACAGGGTTGCGATTGTTGCATAAACAAGCCATGAAAATAAGATTTATTTTGAATTTTACAAACATTTCTTCAAAATTGAGCTTTTTCTTTCTCGTGGTTTTATTTTTATTGCACCCCCCTCGCTTCGCCTATGGACGCAATAAGCATATTCATTTAAGTTGCCTCTCCCCGTAGATACGCGGAGTTTCTAGACCATCCTACGTCTAGAAATTGCAAGAAATTCCACATTTGATGCAGTGATCATACTAGTACTTGCGAATCATATTGAAATTAATCTTATTAAGCAAACAAGAATTAAAATACAGTGTACGTTACTCTAAAAACAAAAACTCCATTGCACAATTACAGAACGATGATTCAAAATAGTTTTTTGAAACCCTTTTTAGAGTACTTCTCTCCTATAGTGCGGGAAATAATTGTTTGGACGGTGGTCAATATTACATACACCCCCCCCACATAAAATTAGTAACAGGATCCCCTTTTCGGCCACCTATCTAATCAAAGCCTGATTATGATTGGCGATTTAGATAAATTCGTCAAATGTCACAAATAACTGAACTACTAGATCTAGCTTTGCAATTGAGGAAAGAATTAGAATATTGATATGCTTCGAAATGAAAACACACGATTGCCAATCTAATGGAAGGGGTACGTAATGAAGACGCGATATTGTGTTTACCGTCCATCGTCCATCGCTCGAAAAGAAAAATCGTCATTGTCCTGACCAATCCCTCTCACAAAAATCGCATTCACCTCAAAACAAAAATTGAATTCGTCTCCCATTTGAAAATTAAGAGATTTTGAAACGAAAAGAGTATGAAGCTCTGTTTGAGCCTATCAAACACAGGCGAATGGTAATTTCATCATCATGCTCTGACACAGTAAAGTCATAGCGATTTTGTTTGGTCGCTGTTATATTGTTTTGTTGATTTTTTTGATGCTGGTGTGTTTATATTATTCAATAAAATTTTATATTTCAAAATGTCATTAGTTAAGTCATTCGGATATTTTGTAGACTTATGATAGACTTAAGACTTCTGGTTTTGTTTCATCAAACAAAGTTTAGATATGGACTTCGAACTTCAGATTTCATTGAAGAGAGTTAGGAATATCATGATCGGAACTGAATATAGCCTATGGCTTTATACCCTGTGACAACATGATATTAACCTCTGGCTCTCTAAGCCCTCGAAAAATGTATCGTGTCCCTTTGGAAGGGTTGGTGCACGTCACCCCCCCCCCCCCCCCGCGGCCAAAAAGTCTAGATCTTTCAAAAGCGTGCAGCTTTCACCATTGTGAGCACTTTTCAAATACACCATTGACCATTCCAATGACTTAGCATCGGGATACCATCATGTATTTCACCAGTCCATGTTATGTCGATGCACCATTGAAGACTCCTCATTTTCCCAGAAGAACTCATGTTGATCGAATCCCAAAAGGTACAATCATGCCAGCTTTCAGTCGGGGGGGGGGGGGGGGGTGATGCCAAAACGAATTTCGGTTATCAGTCAGGGTTGTACCATTGTGGCTAATACAGGCCAATAAATTTATTTTGAATTTTACAAATATTGATGCAACTTCTTTCAAAATTGAGCTAGAGGCTCAAAATAAAAAGCATTTTACCCTTTTCTTCTTCTATCTCATGGTTCTATTTTTTTTATTGGTTATCGCACCCATCGTACCCCCCCCCCCACTTGGTAACGCCTATTGTTTTTTAAACAGGACATTAACACGCGGGAAGTCTCGGGAAGATATATTGTATTAATATCCCTCAGAATATTCCCTATGTCCAAAACATTCCAGTGCATAACCCCTATGTATTAAGTTTATCATTTGAGAGGAGTTAAGCTACACGTTTTAGAGACAAAGTGCACGTGAACTTGTAATATTATGACCCCTCCACATTGGTTTCTCCAGGGCCCCTAATAATTCAATATCCCTTAAACCCCGGGCCTTAAACATTTATCACAGAGTCCTAACTACGACCGTTAGTTTGAATTTCAAACCTACCATGTGTTTAAAAATCAAGGATTATGAGTCTCATAATGTACCGTTTTTGTTCCATTAAAAGCAAAACAAAAATGCCTCTCTGTCGGTGCATTGCTGTCGGGGCCGGTCCCAAGCTGTGTGAAGCGCTTCTCACAGCTGGGGACCCAAACGCCGCTAAAAGGAGGGACTCTCAGTCTGTATAACAGTATAATGTAACCATCAGAAAAATTTGTTTTCTTTTAATGGAACAAATTTGAAGAAAAACGGTGCAGTATATTGATTCACAATCCTTGATTTCCAAACAGGTGTAGGTATAAAATTCAAATTAACGGTCGGAGTTGGCACCTTGTGTTTATACTTACTAGTAATCGGACAAATAATACTACGAAAGGCAGAACTTATTCCAAGAGGACCAAAATTCTGCACGTTCACGAACAAGCTCCTTCATAACCCCCCTATCATGAAAAATGGCATCTATTGCAGTTTTCTAAACCTACATTCTAAAGGACGTAATCCAAGTTCCCCCCTCCCCCTATTCGCTCATGTTTATAATGTCCAGTGAAGATCACTGTGGTTGTGATTTGGGAGGGGGTATACTCTACTAAGGTGTTAGACCCAGCAATCTTCACAGATGGTGGCTACAACTTAAGTTCCAATTTATGAATCTCTCATTAAAATAAACAACTATTACTAAAGGTTCTTTCTGATTGCATTTTACCAATGAAATTATAATCTCCGACTAAACTCGATTTTAGATTTTAAGATATGAATTTTAGATCTCACTGTTATTTAACATTAAATGTCTAGTGTGGGATTGAGCGATAAATCTCCCGTCAAGAAAATGGAATGGCATCTCTTAGTCGGGCTCTTACTATTCTATTTGGACATTCAATCTCACTTCTGACATTGCGTGTGTGGTACAATTTGATCAAAGAAATTCCAAAATCAGAATCTAGCAAATCGCAATCTTTGCCACAATCATTTATTCGGACATTGCACATGTACATCTATCGTTCCCAGGAAATTGTACATGTTATTAAAACTTCCAGTAATTCCGGAGACAAATGTATTATTTTGTTCTCTAGCGTCATTAGATGATAGCAAAAAGTAATTGATTGATTGAACAATTTATTTCCTTATTTTGTAAGTGTACCAATGTATAAGATGACATGATTTATCATAATTACAGGGTCTTAATAGTCTATGGCTACCCTTTGCATTCGTTCGACTTCTAATGCTGCTAATCACCCATCCCCTCTTCACAAAACGACGACATTTTAACTGCTTTCCAAATTAAGGCCCGTAGCCAAGGGGAGCGGAGGGAGCGGCCGCTCCCCCTCCAGGCCAAATGATGCCAAAACAGTCAAAAAAGCCCCCCCCCAACTCCCTTGGCAACCCCCCCCCCCCATGGTAAAACCGCTACCCCGGTAAATCCTGGCTACGGGCCTGAAAATATTATATATTGATCTATAATTTATAAACATGATTTTCTAGGTTCTAGGTTTCATGGGTCGTCATTCCCCCAGAGGCCTCCTTGAAACATACCGATTGCAATGTTTACCCGTTTCAAACATGTCTTAGGCCCAGGTCTTGTTGCACCATTTTCGTTACCACATTCTTACAGGAAATGTATAGATATCGGAGATATATATCTACATAATAGTACTTTTTATTTTTATTATAAAGAAGATGCTATCTGGATTGAGCATTAACTTAAACTTGAAAAACATCCGAACTCACCAACGACTTAATTATAGTGAATGTATGGGGGGGGGTAATGATTCCATCTTTTATTTTCTAGATTGGGCTCTAAAAGTAGACCTCTAATACGCCTTACTTTCTGGTCTAGACC